CACACCTGCTGTAATTCTCGTTGTTTGCAAGCAAGCAAATCAATCATACCAAGTAGTGGCTTCAGTTATGCTTCTTTGAACCATTTGACAACAAACTCACCAGATGTAAGAAACCATTCTTCACAAGCTTTCATCGAACATGTTGCCTTTAACAAACCCAGACTGATTTTATTTTGTCTGGGATAAATGCAACACTCTTTGAGACACCTCCAATGTTTTCAGCTTCTGCAATGATTATATCAACTTCTGACATCCAGCTTTGACATCCAACTGTATCGGAGAACAAAAGAGCTAGAAATGTTGAAGTGACGGTACTACGGTAAGTTTCAGCTTTCGTAGGAACAAAAACATGAAGTTATCGAGTGAGTTGGGGGTCCCAAATTCAGATCCTTAAATAGCATAAATAGTCCAATATATATTTAATTACTAAATATCCTTAGAATTTAATAATTTATAATTACTTAATTTAATTAATAATTAAATCATGGTTTGTTCGTGTTGAAATACGTGAAATCAGAATGAAAAAGCTGAGAAAGGAGACACGTGGAGCCCTTATTTAATATAGTAAATAAAAACAAACTTTTATTTTAAATTTAAGAAGATTTATAACTGTATATTTATAATTTTTAACTAAACTAATGTTATGAAATTTATGCAAATCATTTATAACACGAGAAATATTCGTTTATAAAAATAAATAACTTTAGAAAGTTGTATATTTTTCACGTGGGATTGAATATATTAGAACATATTGAAAATTTTAATTATATCATAAATAAAATCTTATCCTATTAATTTTTTAAGCAAACCTCGACGGTACGAGGAAAATTTTATTAATTAAAAAAAAGATGACACCTAGACAGAGGGGGATGTAATGAGCCTTACCTCTCAAATAAGACTAAATACAATAAAAAAATAAATGAGAAAAAATATTATGCATGAATTACAAAGAATATATACAAAAGCTTTACATACACCATTAATGTTTCTAATAAATATATACAAACAATCATAGGAATGACAGAACAAACCAATTATTACAATCTCTAGCATTGACATCTCAATACTTTCATCGGAAATTCTTCTTCTTCGTCTTCCTATAAACATTCAGCATTTAGAGATTTTATTTAGACTAAATTTATAAAATAATCAATTACTTCTAATTACAAATAAAAGTGTTTAAAAAATATTTTGAATGATATATTACTTTAGGAAGGATTTTCGAATAAAAAATTAATTGTGTAAATAATAATTACTAAAATAGCCTAAAAATCAAATAAGGTATAAACTAATTTTTTATGCGAATAATTATTTAATCTAATTGTAATAAAATATTGGCCTAATTTAAATAAAAATAAAAAAACACTATCTACAAGATTGAATTTTTCCCTATCGTCCATAGCAAACGCCACTTTCATACTCATTTGCCAATATCGTTTGACTATCACCGTGGTACCATTGAAGTCGACAGATGAGCTACCAAAGACGACGAGCTATCACCAAAACTAGTGACCATCTATTGATCCATCAATTTTTATTTTATTTTTCCTTGTGTATCAATGTTAGTAATTAATATATAATAATCATATGAACGATCAAGCAAATCAAAGTATTACAATTTCTTGTGTTGTTCAATAATACTGAATAATAATATATAAAACATGATTCATACCATTTTTACTCTCAAATTTAAGTCGATCCCTCCGCCTGATTCTCCTACAAAAACAATAGTTTTTTAGTAATGGACACCCCTTGAACTTATTATTTAAAATGTATAATTTCAAATATAGATATGAAAAATATCACACACTTAATATGATGAGATTTATTATTTAAAATGTATAACTTGTTTTGAAAAAAATAAAAATAAAAAAAATAAAAGAGAAATGAAACAATGTTCACATAATAAATTGAACTTATTATAATTTTATTAAGAAAAGAAACAAATTATTTATTAGGATAACAGATTAAAATAATAATAATTAAAAAATACTTATCTGAAAAATTAATTATAATATAATTGTAAAATTATAAAAATTGGTTTTTTCTTTTTGCTGTAGCCAGGGGGAGCCATCGCTGCTCCGCCCGTGTTTGTGGATTATCTACAACTTAACCTATTTGGAACTTAAAATTTAATAAATTATAAAATAATTACTTAATTTAATGAAAAGGTTGAAATGCAGTGAAATCAGACTGAAAAAGTTGAGAAAGGAGACACGTGGGGTCCTCATATAATATGTAAATAAAAAAACAAATCAATTTATCAGAGGAGGCATATTCATTTATATAATAAATAACTTTGTTACCTATTTGGGCTTATGTTAAAATAATCATTAGATTTTATATACAATTTCTGTATAATTGACATGATGATATCATAACAATTGCATATAAAAAGTGTATTGGGTTGGGAAACTCTTGGCAACTAGCTAGGCATGAATGTTGAAGATATATATATATATATATATATATATATATATAATGCCCTTAAATTACAAACACGTAACAATTATCTTCACCAACTTGGGAATTAGGCATTCAAACCCCTATCTTCAATTTCAAAAAACCTGTGAAGAATAAAAACTAGCCAACATGTACATCGGTCAACCACTATCGGTGGGATTAGAGATGGGCAATTAGGACTGGGTCCAAAAACTCAATCCAAAAACTCGGTCCTAAGAGACCTGGTCCTGTGGAGGAGGGTCCAATCCCTCCATTGGGTCCTCGGGCCTGGGCCCAATCCCTTATACAATTACTGTAACCCCTTATAAATTTTGAAATAAACATAAATTATAGGGGTTAAAAGAAAATATTACAAAATTTATTTTTAAAAAAATTCTCCAAGCCCTAAAAAATTTATAAATTTTACCCCTAAAAAATACTAAAAACCTCCTACAAAATTTCGTTTCGCCCCTAAAATATAAAAAAAAAAATCGGGGGAAAAAAAAAATTTCCAAGCCCATAAGACCGGTCCGAGTCCTAAAGTTGCTCTAGGTGGGATCTATTTATAATTACAACATATTTATTTGTGGGAATAACACTACAGAACATAAGGTAGAGGTTATAATGTTAATTCTCCTACAGATGATAAAATTTAAACTTGTTAATTTATGATTCAATGGTCTACAATCTTCTAAAATATTTCAATTCATTTATGCCAATGCCAAAACCATTTTTAAATAAAAGGTAAATATTCAAAAAGAATTAAATTTTAAATTATTTCAGGAGACAAGAATAAAATAAAAATTAAAGTTTATGCACCTACATTGATCAAATAAGATTTTATCTTTTTTTTCCAAGTTTTTATGTGTGACAAAAGAACAAACAAATTAAAGAATAGCAAAAGCAGGAAGATGCAAACCGTCTGTTGCAGTCATGGAAGCTTGTATAGGCAGAAGCTGAGCCTGGGTTCAAAAAACAAATTAAATAAGGTCCTGATCAGGAATTGCAACACCAGAATGATAAACTAATTAAACTTCTGAATCCAATTAAGCAGAAGTCGTGACTTTTTTTTATGCTTCTTTGAACTATTTGACAACAAACTCACCACACGTAAAGGACCATTCCTCACAAGCATTTCATCAAACATGTTGCATGAAGAAACAATTCCTCAAAAGCATTTCATCAAACAAGTTCTATGAAATGCTTTTAACAAACCCAGCAAGTATAAAAACACAAAACACTACACAATTTTAACATATAATCAGCACAGCATAAATTTTATTCTTTACCTGTTCACTGAGTTGATCACGTTGTCTGGGATTTATTTACAACTCCATTAACTTTTTAAGAGAGGGTAGAACACCACGGGATATTAATGGTTGCTTCCAACAAGAATTCAAATGTAAGAACCTGAGAATAGTTAATTGACTCAAGGATATGGGGATTTCCTCAATAAGATCAGAATTGGAGAGGTCAAGTATCTCAAGTTTACTTAGCTTTCCAGAGCTTCATATTCCGCCAGATTAGGTAGACGTCGACGTAGGGAACAGTTATGCCAACGCCCATCGTGCGTCGGGGTAGTCCATGTTTCTCGCGGTGAACATAAAGCAACTTGAATTGAGTTGAATTTTCCCGGATTCTCTAAGCGTGTAATTGGTGAAAAAATGTGTGTAGATGAATCAAAATGCAAAGGAAATGGGTGGAAAGGTGGGCGAAACAGCACAGGATGTTACTGAGAAGGCAAAACAAACAGTGGAAGGAGCATGGGGCTCAGCTAAGGATACAGCTCAGAAAGCTAAAGAATCATTGATGGGCAATGCTGAAGCTTCCAAGGAAACCGTCAAACAACATGCTGAGGAAGTGAAGAAAAACATGAACATGAAGAACTGATTACTGTTTTTGTTCTATCTCATATTAAGTTTCACTCTTATATATCTATATATAGTTATTTTGTAGTAGTGCAGATGTCTCAGCACCGTAAGAAAGTGATGAACTATCTGTTTTGAGTCAGCTTTAACTAGCTCACTTTATATAACTCTTCGTATTTTAAGTTTAAACCTAAAGAAATTTAACTTAAGTTTCTGGAATGAATGCATGTCTACTTCGTTTGTTTGTTATCACATTCGAGACATATTCATTTATATAAATAAATAATATTTCAAGTGGGATTGAATATATTGAAAAATAATATATTTGACTTTAAATATCTTTCACGACAATAAGGTTAAGAGTGTCATATACCTAATTTATAGTAAGTAAATTTCAATTACATCGTAAATAAAATCTTATATTATTAATTTTTTTTAAGCAAACCTCGACGGTACGAGAAAAATTTTATTAATTGAAAAAAAAAAGATGACACCTAGATAGAAGGGTACATAATTAGCCTTACCTCTCAAATAAGACTAAATACAATAAAAAGTAAAAAAAATAAGAAAAATGATTATGCATGAATTACAAAGAACAAATATAAAAGCTTTTACACACACCATTAATATTTGTAAAATATATATATACAAAATAATCATATGAATGATAGAGCAAATCAAATTATTACAATCTCTTGCATCAACATCTTAATATCTTTCAAAAGAAGTTTTTCATCTTCTTTTTCTTCGTCTTCTTCTTACTACAAAAACAATCAGCATTTAGGAGATTTTATTTAGACTTAATTTTTGATTGTTATTGTATTTAGAAAATAGAGTAAGCTGTGTTAAGATCTTCAAAAGATGAAAAGCAAAAAATAAATTATCTTTGTATATCTATCTTCAAGAAATAAAATATCTTTGATTATGAGCACATTCTCTGATCGTACACCAAATTTCCCATCTTCGTAGATACAGAGTTCTAAGAAGCAAATTCAAATTACACAAAGTACATATAATTTCTGTTCATTTTGAACAAATACTACACCAAGTACATATAATTTCTTAAAAAATATCTAAATTTACTTTTGCCATTTCCAAAACCACTTTTAACTAAAAAGTTTACAAGTACAAACAGAATTCAAATTTAAAATATTTTATATTACACTTTAATTTGATTGATTTATTATGTAAATCTATTTTAATATTTACACTAAAAATTACTAAATAAAAGTGTATTTTTTGTTATTTTACATGCAACATATGTAGCTTATTAAAGAGAATGCAAAGCTTACCCTGTACACAATTCAAGCAAGGAACTAGATATCAGTCTAAAAATTGTGTTTTTTGGATTGAATTATGACTTAGCCGTACATATCATGACCAATAAGCAAGTTGTGAGCTAATCCTTCTTGCATTAAGACCACAGCAAGATCAGCACAAGCTACAGGATCTGAAATTCAAAGAACAATGCACAGATTTACAGTCGGAGATAAACAACCCTTCCGTAACACAAACTCAACACATGTTCGTATAATAAATGAATCATTAGAGAATAAAGAAACAATGTAATTATGTCAATTTCTTAGACTCAAAACACAATTACAGTATATATTAAAGGCGACAATAGCTCAAACCAACAAAAGATTTCTTCTACATATACATTAAAGTATTGGAAAAATTAATCATAAAATTTCAAAAGAATCATCATCAAGGTACACCAGAAAATTAAATAAAATGTTGAAGACCATTTTCTGTCCAACCAAATTATGTGAATGTAACTTTATTCCCCTGTATTATAGTAGTGATGAGTTTTAAATGTTTCCTTTAACGACTTTCTAAAGGAAAAGAGGAGCTTACTGTTAACTTCTTTTGCTCTGGTAATTATTTTCTTTATCTAATAATCTCTGAAAAGACTGGAAAAGAAGAAAAGATGAGGTGCATTCTCAAATTAAAGCACAATGGTCATTTTTTAAAGAAAACAAAAAAGCAAAGTGAATTCTTCCTTTTAAATTGTTGTTGTTTCCTTTTGTGGACAGATGGTATGAAAATTTTTGGAGATATGTTTGGATATAGCATAAAAAAGAAGCCTCAATTAATTCAGCGTGTCTGTAATTATAAAATATTTATCTGTATATTTTGAACATATGCTACATAAAATATATATAATTTTTTAAAACATATAAGTAAAGTTTAAAATACAAAAGGAATTAAAAATTTAAGAATATTTTGAGAAACAAGAAGATGGGAAGTTGAACCATTGCCACAAACTGTCTCTTAATAAAAGAAAACTAAAATTTAGGCACCTATATGGAACAAATAAGATTTTATCTTTTACTACCCCCTTTTTTCCAAGAAGTGTTTTAAGTGTCTATTTCAGCCATGAAAAGTTGTGCTTTTTTCATGCAATACAAATCCAAAATCTTATGCGACAAAAGAACAAACTAAAGAAAACCAAAAGCACAAAGTTAATTGAAGCATGAATAATGCTGATGACAAAATATAGAGCATATTATTATTTTGAATAGAAAGATTGGGAAGAATCAGTGGAAATAGATTATTAACTTACCCATGTTATATGCTCAAATGTCAAGTAACCCTGTCACTGAAATTGAATTTTGTATCCACCTCTTTGATTATGAACACATTATCTAATATTAAACCAACTTTCCCATCTTCATAGAAACAGATTTCTAAGAAGCAAATTCAAAATAATTATATAACTAAATATAAACCCCGACGATTCAGATTAACTAATTATTTTGGAAAGACTTAAGACAACTACATGAGCAGAAATTCATTCAGAGTTCAGCGCAAACATAAGATTGCATTATGTAAATGGCAAGGGTAAAATCTACACTAAAACCCTTGTAAGCACCAGCTCTTTAACAAATAAAAACTAAACTATTCAGACAAATTTCTTCTACAACTGCAGCTACAGCAAAAATACTATGATACTAATTAGGCTTCTCAATCCAGTTAAGTACATACAAGTAAATAGAAGTTATTAGAATTCACCAGTTACCATCTTGAATGTTTAGGTAAGACCCAATTCCATGACCAATACTCTGTCGATATTCAAGAACATATTTCCACAGAGACATCCTAGCAAAAATACCAAGGGTGCATGCCTGTAGAAGGTGATTTATTCAATCAATTAGTGCAATCTACTTATGCAGACCAGTGTTACCTAATAATTTCCAATTTGCTGCAGTTGCACTCACTTATAACAATTAAAAAAACATTAAAATCTTAATCAAGTGTGTCAATGGACTAAAGTATGCAGCAAGGCATACTTTAATAACGTAACATATGCCAACATTCATTAACGTTTAGATATAAAGGAATTCAATGACCAGTAGTAATCAACACCATCTTTGCATAGAGGCTTGCTGATTCCTACAAGAAGGTCAGGGGCAATACTAGTAGAAAGTGATTGAAATCTACGTAAGCAGATTCAATATTTGGAATCTTCAAGAGAGTTGGGAGATTCATAAACCATACCAGATGCCTTGAGTCAAGTATTAAAGAGTAAAAAGGGATTAGAAAAGTGAACCAGGTGTCCACAAAGGCAAGACTAAATAACTTAACAATAAAATTAATAGTTAAATATGACATTTCTTCTTTACACATATTAGGCACAGCAAGCAGAAGAAAGCAATGGAGCTCACCTTTGTTAAACCGAAAAAGCATCACTTTGCTTTCTCAGAAAGGGCTGGATCTCATGTGTGAACTGTTCCAGACAACCTTCAGAAAGTTCTACCTGAAAAGTTTCTAAAAGCATAACAAAATTTAAAGCTAGAACACAATGAATATTTCATATACTTTAATCCATGCTTACAAATAACTGATGATTCGGACAACTAGACAAGTGTGAAGTCAGAAGAAATTGTAGCATTTTTAACCATAAAAAGTGGAATGAGTTTTTTAAAATCGTTGAATCTTCAAATCGTTCTTCCTCAGTCGTGAACAAAAGAGTTAAAGAGTATATCTTGCACAATAGATATATATTCAACCCAACCTTTTCTCTTGCAGTTCTTCATGTCCTGGCAAAGTCATATTCTTCATATTCATTAAATAAACCGCAATCAAACAATTAATTGAGACAATTTATCAAGCACTTTAAAAGCATAATTAATTTGAGATAACCAATACCCAAAAAGAGATGTACCACAACAACAGTAGATCAGTGGCCAAACCAGTAGATCATGAGGGCCACGAGAGTAGATTGCTTCGGCTACACAAGCTGCTCTCAGCGGAGGCAAAGCGCAGTCCAAGCCTTAGTGTTGAAGATAAGTAAATTGCCAAAGTAAATCTATACTAAAATCCTTATGTGCATAAGTATTACAGTATACATCTGGGTATACACAAGAATATATATTAAAATTTTATGAAAAATTTTTACTACAACTTCAATTGAAAGCAAAAACAGCAGTCCAATACTAACCATCTGTTGCCGTCATGGAAGCTTGTAAAGGCACAAGTTGGGCCTGGGTTCAAAAGCTAATTGACCTGCTTAGGCATTAAAACACCAGAAAGATAAACTAATTAGGCTTCTCAAACCAATTAATAACATCTATATAAATGCAAGTAGTAGGAAATTACCTCACGCCAGGCTGTAATTCTGGTTCATTTGCAAGTAAACCAATCAGTTCCAAGTAGTGGCTTCAATTATGCTTCATTGAACCATTTGACAACAAACTCACCAAATCCCAAGGAACCATTCCTCACAAACATGTTGCATGAAATGCCTTTAATAAACCCAGAATGTATTACAACATAAAAGCTGCACAATTCTAACATGTAATCAACCAAAAAAAAAAAAAAAAAATTCTTTACCAGTTTACTAGGCCGGTTACGTTGTCCGGGATTAATGCACCACTCATTTAGACACCTCTTGTTTGCCTTGACCTCATCCTCCAAAAACTTTCAGCTTCTGCAGAGATTTTGTCAACTTCTGACATCCAGCTTTGAACATCAGTTTCTATAATTTCTAATGAAACAATTTCCATGGATGAAAACAAGGAAGAGTACTGTATAGAAGAACAAGAGCTAGAAATGTTGAAGTGGTGGCAGAGTTTCAGCTTTTGAAGGACCAAGAAAACACAGATTTTGAATGAGTTTTGGTACCCAAATTCAGATCATAAAATACAATAAAATGTTTTATAACATTTTTATTATGCAGGCTATCAAAAGCAATCACAATTCATAAAGACACAAACTCTTCAAGCAAGCTGACAAGTTATATATCTTTTGATTACTTCTTGTCTGCCATTTACATCATTAAAAATATAATATTAGTGGAATTAACTTTAGGAAAGCTTACAGTAGTGTTTGATTCTTCTACTAGAATTGTCAAAACAGAAATCATGATTAAAGCAATTACATAATAAGATTACACTGAAAGATGACATCTATGTATATTCTTATACAAACAATTGTAACCTAAAGCTAACACTAATTACAATTGTGATAACTAATTGATATTAAAATATGACATATAATCAAATCTTATTATTTGTTGGAAAATATATATATTAAGTTTTGTTTTTTCTTTTCTACTAGCTAGCATCACATAATATTGTAAATGTAAGCCAGAAACAAATAAGTACATGCATAAATCACAAGAAGTTCAAGAAATATAAGCCAAAAATTGATCATCTTCTGCAGTGATTTTATCAACCTCCGACATCTAGAATATCAATTTCTATAATTTCTAGATTCCTTTTAGCAGCTTTAATTTTGGCTTCTAACTGTCTCCTATACCAGCAAATTGATTAATTTGCTTCTCTAAGGGTCCAATGTGTCCTAGTAGTGAAGCAAGTAACCAAACTGACAGCCTGCTGCACCAAACAAACAGTCTAAGTGCTTCCAACAACTGAAAAAACAATTTCCATGGATGAAAACAAGGAACAGTAGTTAATTAGTTTGAATGAGTTACCCCTGTTTTGCGCTCAAATGTCAAGTAATTAACCCTTGTCCCCAAGGTCACTTTCTTCAAGCTTACAACAAATTTCACATCCTCATAGTAACAGGGCTCTGAAAAGAAAATTCAAATTAATAATTAATACAAAATCCCAATGATTCTAAGATAACACAACCCCAGTCACAGATTAAAGTATCCAACAGATTAAAGTGATCCAAAAAGTATATGTTAACAACATACCTAAGATAACACCATAGCCATTATCCAAAAGGGAATTAATTAAATATAAAACCTCAATGATTCTGGCAATAACACACAACCATTAATATTGGAAAGAGTGAGACAACTAATATTGGCAAACATAAGACTGCATTATGTGTATTTGCATGAATGACAATAAGTTCAAGAAATGTAACATTAGAGAAACAGTTCTAAAGATAAGTAAAGGACCCTTATAAGCATGAGCTCTTAACAAAGAAAAAATTAAAATTTACAGAAAAATTTCTTCTACAACTGCGGCTAAAGCAAAAATTCTATGATACTAATTAGGCTTCTCAATCCAATTAAGTACATATAAGTAATACAAGTAGTTAGAATTCATGACTTACCTTTATGAGTGTTTAGGTAAGACCCAATTCCTAGACCAGTACCCCGTCGGTGCTCAAGACCAGATTTCCACAAAGGCATCTTAGCAAGAATACCAACGGAGCATGCCTGTAAACAGCAAAGTGCAAGCCTCAGCGCTACACAGGCAGCTTCTCTTTGTTTACTGATGAAGACAAAGTCTCATCATGTTACATTAGAGGTCTTTTGTCTACTGAGTTGGCGTTTCACAAGCAGTACCTGTCCAGTAAAAATAAAAACAGCTGGAATGACTATTGCCCACCCGGAAATTAACCTCCCTTTATTGTCAGTTTTAAGATAAGCAAACGGCCAAGGTAAAACCCATATTAAAACCCTTATGTGCATGAGCATGCATCTGGCTACACAAACAGAGGACATAAATTAAAATTTTTTGAAAAATTTTTTCTTCAACTAAATTTAGAGCAAAAACAGTTATATGATACTAACCATCTGTTGCAGCAATGGAAGCTTGTATAGTAAGTTGAGCCTGGGTTCTAAAACTAATTAAATGGGGTCTGCTCAGGCACTGCAACACCAGAAAAATAAATTAGTTAGGCTTCTTAATCATATTAAATACGTCTAAGTAAATGCAAGTAGTTGGAAATTACCTCACACCATGCTGTAATTCTCGTTTGTTTGCAAGCAAGCAAATCAATCAGTACCAAGTAGTGGCTTCAGTTATGCTTCTTTGAACCATTTGACAACAAACTCACCAGATGTAAGAAACCATTCTTCACAAGCATTTCATCGAACATGTTGCCTTTAACAAACCCAGACTGATTTTATGTTGTCTGGGATAAATGCAACACTCTTTGAGACACCTCCAAAATGTTTTCAGCTTCTGCAATGATTATATCAACTTCTGACATCCAGCTTTGACATCCAACTGTATCGGAGAACAAAAGAGCTAGAAATGTTGAAGTGACGGTACTACGGTAGAGTTTCAGCTTTCGTAGGAACAAGAAAACATGAAGTTATCGAGTGAGTTTGGGGTTCCCAAATTCAGATCCTTAAATAGCATAAATAGTCCAATATATATTTTAATTACTAAAATATCCTTAGAATTTAATAATTATATAATTACTTAATTTAATTAATAATTAAATCATGGTTTGTTCGTGTTGAAATACGTGAAATCAGAATGAAAAAGCTGAGAAAGGAGACACGTGGAGCCCTTATTTAATATAGTAAATAAAAAACAAACTTTTATTTTAAATTTAAGAAGTATTTAATAACTGTATATTTTATAATTTTTAACTAAACTAATGTTTATGAAATTTATGCAAATCAATTTATAACACGAGAAATATTCGTTTATAAAAATAAATAACTTTAGAAAGTTGTATATTTTTCACGTGGGATTGAATATATTAGAACATATTGAAAATTTTAATTATATCATAAATAAAATCTTATCCTATTAATTTTTTAAGCAAACCTCGACGGTACGAGGAAAATTTTATTAATTAAAAAAAAAGATGACACCTAGACAGAGGGGGATGTAATGAGCCTTACCTCTCAAATAAGACTAAATACAATAAAAAATAAAATGAGAAAAAATGATTATGCATGAATTACAAAGAATATATACAAAAGCTTTTACATACACCATTAATGTTTCTAATAAATATATACAAAACAATCATAGGAATGACAGAACAAACCAAATTATTACAATCTCTAGCATTGACATCTCAATAACTTTCATCGGAAATTCTTCTTCTTCGTCTTCCTATAAAAACATTCAGCATTTAAGAGATTTTATTTAGACTAAATTTATAAAATAATCAATTACTTCTAATACTACAAATTAAAAGTGTTTATAAAAATATTTTGAATGATTATATACTTTAGGAAGGATTTTCGAATAAAAAATTAATTGTGTAAATAATAATTACTAAAATAGCCTAAAAATCAATATAAGGTATAAACTAATTTTTTATGCGAATAATTATTTAATCTAATTGATAATAAAATATTGGCCTAATTTAAATAAAAAATAAAAAACACTATCTAACAAGATTGAATTTTTCCCTATCGTCCATAGCAAAACGCCACTTTCACTACTCATTATGCCAATATCGTTTGACTATCAGCGTGGTACCATTGAAGTCGACAGATGAGCTACCAAAGACGACGAGCTATCACCAAAACTAGTGACCATCTATTGATCCATCAATTTTTATTTTATTTTTCCTTGTGTATCAATGTTAGTAATTAATATATACATAATCATATGAACGATCAAGCAAATCAAAGTATTACAATTTCTTGTGTTGTTCAATAATACTGAATAAATAATATGATAAAACATGATTCATACCATTTTTACTCTCAAATTTAAGTCGATCCTCCTGCCTGATTCTCCTACAAAAACAATAAGTTTTTTTAGTAATGGACACCCCTTGAACTTTATTATTTAAAATGTATAATTTCAAATATAGAATATGAAAAATTATCACACACTTAATATGATGAGATTTATTATTTAAAATGTATAACTTGTTTTGAAAAAAAATAAAAATAAAAAAAATAAAAGAGGAAATGAAAACAATGTTCACATAATAAATTGAACTTATTATAATTTTATTAAGAAAAGAAACAAAATTATTTATTAGGAATAACAGATTTAAAATAATAATAATTAAAAAAATAACTTATCTGAAAAATTAATTATAATTATAATTGTAAAATTATAAAAATTGGTTTTTTCTTTTTTGCTGTAGCCAGGGGGAGCCATCGCCTGCTCCGCCCGTGTTTGTGGATTATCTACAACTTACCTGATTTGGAACTTAAAATTTAATAAATTATAAAATAATTACTTAATTTAATGAAAAGGTTGAAATGCAAGTGAAATCAGACTGAAAAAGTTGAGAAAGGAGACACGTGGGGTCCTCATATAATATAGTAAATAAAAAAACAAATCAATTTATCAGAGGAGGCATATTCATTTATATAAATAAATAACTTTGTTACCTGATTTGGGCTTTATGTTAAAAATAATCATTAGATTTTATATACAATTTTCTGTATAATTGACATGATGATATACATAACAGATTGCATATAAAAAGTGTATTGGGTTGGGAAACTCTTGGCAACTAGCTAGGCATGAATGTTGATAAAGTTATTCATTCAATCTCAAATCTTAAAACACTTTACCTTTGTTAGCACATCACTTTCTCAACTTGGTCACCATTATCCAAACCTCATTCCTTCCTTTTAATCTAAACACAAATCAATTTGTATTAATATATACTGTTACTCTATTGAATTGAATGTCATATTTATATACATTTAATTCAAATAAAGTGCTTCAATGAGAAGATCATCAATGCAAAATGCTAAAACTTTACAATATTAATTACAACATGTAATGTAGCTCTTTCATCGTCAACTACATACCTGTTCATTGAACAACTCTTGCACTGTGGCATTCAAGTTGCTATTCCAACGTTCTTTATTCCATCCTACAACCACTTTGTTAAGCTTGGGTGCCACTTGCTCTCCATAACCAAAGGTCTTCATTTTTCCACATCTATATATACGTAATATCTCCAATGCTGGGTATTCAATAGTATATGACCCAGAGCTAAAACAAGTGAGGCTTCCTAGACCTCCAAGTGACATGTCGTACAAACTAGGAAACACTATCCTCTCTATTGATGCTTCTTTTTCTCCTTTCTCATTTGTGACTATTTCTTCTATTGTTGAGCATCTCCATATTTGAAGACTTTTGAGCTTCACCAGGCATTTGACAATGGAAGGGGTGAAGAGGTTTTTTAATTTAGGACACCTAATTATTTGTATAGAAGTTAGGTTTCCCAAACTTGGGGATGTTATGGTGTGGTCTAACTCCTCATCCAAAGATTCTTTCTTCTCAAAGATCTCCTCTAAATTATTGCAATCCTTTATATATATTTTTTCCAAACAAATAAGGCTTTGGAGTAGAGTTGGTGAAAATAGTTTTATCAACTTATCGCATGACCAAAGTTCTACTCTCTTCAAGCTACAAAGGCTTACGGATTGATGGTCACCATTCCGTATATGTGACAACTCTGGCAAAAATGCCAATTTTAGATACTCTAACGATGAGAGTAACTTGGCTTCTCCCTCTGCAATCTTAATATCTTTACAATCAAATATATACACCAATGATTTACAAGATGTGATATCAAGATACTTCAATTCATTGAACCCTTCTTCAACTAGGTTATGGCTAATACTCTCTAAATTAGCAATTTCCTCTAAAAATAGCCTCTCGGTTCTTTTGAGCAAACCTTTAACCCAGTCATATATTTTTGAAATGTTGGTTTGTGAGACAAGCATATTTCTTGAGTATCTACTCTCATCCATAGAAGCATCAAAATATTCACTATAACCTATTCTTAATTTAAAGTTGGATAGGTTATTTTGGAATACCAACAATTTTGGTGAGAGGTCAAGGTTTGAAATAAAAATCTCTAAATGAGTCAATCGGGACAAGGCTTCTAACTCAACAAGATTGGCATTGCTTTTCAAATTTTCACTTTCATATTCCCATTGCCTAAATCCATTAATGTACAACTCCTCTAACTTTTTAAGTGAGGGTATAACACCACAAGTTATTAGTGTTAACTCCTTACAATTATTCAAATCTAATAACTTGAGATTACTTAATTGGCTAAAGGAAGCGGGGATCTCTTGAATAGAAGATTTGAAAAGGCTAAGAATCTCTAGTTTACTAAGACTTCCAATCACTGATAGGTCACCCAACTTGCAACCACTAAGATTTAGTGTTTTAATTGTTGAGAGAAATGAAAGTGATTCAGGCAATGACAAGAGTTCAGTTTGACTCAAATCTAAAACACTAAGATTTTTCATACCTTGAAAGAAATTACTAGGGACAACTAACTGAAAATTATTATTCTGCAGTAACAAAGCCTGCAGTTTTGGACATTCCAACCCACTAGGTAGCTCCCTAATATAATTTGCCATCAATGAGATACACGTGAAATCTTCAAATGTATCTTTGTTTGGCCACTCTTTTAGACCAATTCCAGCTTTTACCATAAACTTACGGTTGTATTTAGGGGCTATAGTTATTGCAAAATCACGAACAACGTCATGCATTTTAACGTGCTCTTCACCATCATCAATTAAGAGAAAATAAGAGGTGATGGTATTTACAATAGCATGTACTCTGTCTCTAGCATCTTCTGTTGTCTCATCAGTATCTCCAAACCACCTCAAGCCCATCCAATATCTAACCAAATCTTCAACTGAAATGCTGTAGTCCTCTGGAAATAAGCTACAAAATAAGAAAAGTGATTTTGATTCCACATTTTCTAGATAATTGAAGCTCAGTTCCAAAGATGAAAACACGATTCCCTCCATTCCTTGGATGCTTGTTGGGTTGGACTTTTGAAGTTGTCGTGCCGCATTGCTCCACACATGCTTGTTCTTCCCCTTTAAGGCCCCTGCTACTGTGACAATCGCAATCGGCAAACCGCCACATTTAGCAGCTACATCTCTTGCAATTGGATTTATATCAGTAGTTTCAACAATCGTGCCAGCCAGCTCCTTGAATAAGGCCCAAGACTCTTGTTTTGACAAAGTTTCAACTATAAATTTCTTTTGACAATTCATTTGATCACAGACGTTTATGCTTCGAGAGGTGATTACAATTTTACAACCTCTATGGCTTTCTCCAAAAGGAATACCAATATCATCAAGCTTTATTTTTCTCCAAACATCGTCTAGTATTACGAGAATCCGCTTCTTCTCCATGATTCTCCCCGATAAGAAACTTGCTCTTTCTATTTCAGAATTAGCAGGTAGAGATGCCGTTACACCTAACATGTCAGCAATTTCTCCTTGAATCCTCATTATGCTAGGAGTTTGAGAGACAACTGCCATCACTACTGGATCATATATCTTTTCATCTTTTAATTGTTTGCCCATTTCTTTTACTAGTGTGGTTTTACCCACACCCCCCATCCCACATATTCCAATTATGTAGACACCATCATCATCAACTAACGCCTTCACGATTTCCTTCTTAATTGAATTTCTAGATTCAAAAGGGCCAGAAGAAAATACCTCGGATGATGATATAATTCCCGAAGGAGGAGCAGGAATTGACACACTCTCAATCTTTGCCGCTTCTTGGAGCTGATTAGAAATCGCCAGAGTCTGCTTCTTTGCTTCCTTACTGAATCGATAATGTTGTCTGAGATTAATGCACCACCCTTTGAGGCACCTCTTATTTGCTTTGTCTTCATCTTCCAAAAACCTTTTAGCTTTTGCGGAAATATTATCAGCTTCAGCCATCCAACTATTTGAAAAATCACCAAGATGATTTCTCCATGTCTTTTAGCAAATTTGATTTTCTTTTGTACTGTGTCTCTACTGTCTGCAACTTTTAGCTTGATTTTTCAAGTTTTCAACGTTGTCATTGTAATGAAACAAGTAACCGAGTTGATCGCAGCAGCTGCAAACAACACTTTCGAACTCCACACATTGAGGAAACAATTTCCATGGCTTGGTTTTTTTTTTTTTTTTTTTTTTTTTTTTTTTTTTTTTTTTTCAGTTGGGTATAAGGAGAAAATTATGTTTTGAGTGTTTGAAGGTGAAAGAAGAAAAATATATAGGACTTTAGGCAGGGTTTTAGGAGAATTTTTTTGGTTCAGTTTGTAACAAAGAGTAGGAAAACAAAGAGATGAATAGGAAACAAGTATGTTGTTTGCTGTGAAATGATAAGAAAAAAGGAGTAAAACATATGAAGCAAAGAAAAGTAAATGATTTGTGGAAGGAAAAAGTATATATATATATATAAATATCCTTTCAATGCAAAAAGAATTTTGTACGTATTGTTGTTCAATTACCAATCACTTAGAGATGCATGCTTAAGAAAGAAATCAAAGTATAATTTGCTGAAGATCCTCCTTGCCTTCAGTTTTAAGGCTGCAGCTTGGTTCCATCCTTATTACAAACTCATTCTTCTCTCTTATAATTGTTTCTAAGTTAGAATCTCTAATTTTGTATATATTCTTGTCTTTGGAAAGAGGAAATCATAAAGAAAAGTGATTATATGATAAGAGGAGAGGAAGCAAGGTATGCAATTCATCTTGCCTTTGCTCTCATGGCTTCTTTTCTTTTATAAACTTTTTCTGATTTAGGATCTACAAAGAATTGAAAACCAAATGTAGAATTATTCTTGTCTTCTAAAAGAGAAACTTAATTGAGAAAATGATACCATTGTTTGACCTCTTAAATCAAAATCCTGCAAAAAGAATCCTTCAATCAACAAGAATTGCAGAGCAAGGGAAGGGATATGCATGAACACCAAGAACTAATGTTCTTTCCTCATAAGTAGTGTTATAAATTTTCAAGTTTTATTCTTACATATATACGTTTAGTTATTTTGTTTTTGCAGCGTATATAAGAAATCCTTTAGAAAATAATAATATAAATTTAATCTTTGGTTACCCAAATTTGTATTGATTTATAAGGTTTAATTAGCTTCAAGGCTGTTTGATTTACGTTCACCAATTTTATGTTCTCTAACTTATGTACCAATTAATGGCTTGAATTTTGCATTCAAATTACCAACTCATTTCTTATTTCTAAGTAATATTAATATTCCAAGGTAATAAAGGAGTAAGATTGCAGTTACTGAATCCTGAAGGAATTGTATAACCAAAAAAGTCGATTGTCGAATTCGTCGCATCAATACTAATTACTAAAAAAGTGAAAAAGAATTTATATGCAGAAGGGAGGTATTCGTAATTGATGTTGAAATGAATACTTTTGCTTGCTCTCAACTCAAGGCTGCTTGGTTCCATTCTTACAACAATTTTTTATTCTGTTCCATAAGAATACAATATTCTTGTCTTCTAAAAGAAATCTAGGAACATTATTGTCTTGTGAAAGACAAAATGTAAAGCAAGTTAATGTTGTTTTGATCATCCTTCTTCTTCCTCTGCAAAAAAATATATAACAAACTTCAGATTGTACAGAAACATAAGAAGAATACTTAATGTTGTTTAGAATTAGTCCATGAATGGAAACACAGGGCTTCTACCATTTAATGCACTCCACTCATTTTAAAAGGAGTTTTCCCTCTAGAAATTTAAATATATATTTACCAAATTGTTTTCAACAACTAAGGCCTCTATGGTTTGTTGATTTAGCCCTTGTAGTCGAAGACTTTTAGAATCATCAATTTCATCGGCAAAGTGATATCATAGAAGTTAGAATCTAAGTTACCCGATATTACTACCTCCTATTAGCGTCAACTGAAAAATTTTCAACAACTACTCCAATGTCAGCACCAGACCATGCTAGCAGTATAATGGCAACAATTGTTCAATTAAATTCAAAAGATATCCCAACTGTAAAATAAACTAAAATACCTTTACTCTGAGCAGCAGTAATTTGGTCTCTGATCAGTTAACAGCCTTCTTGTTAGATCTCTCTATGAGATTTCTAACCTGAAGTAAAATGAAGTTATAACAATATAAGCTATTAATGCATAGGTGCATATTACACTAGCTTCAAGAATTACAATCACAAGAAAGTCAAAGTAATGCTTCCCACTTTGTCTAAATGTTCAAGAACTGAATTTTGATTATTGGGATTCATGTAAGATTCATCCTTCAATCCAATTAGTGTCATGAAAATTGAGTAAGCCGTGTAAAGATCTTCAAAAAATGAAAAGAAGAAAATAAATTGCCTTTGTATATCTATCATCATGAAATAAATTATCTTTGATTATGAACACATTCTCTGATCGTACACTAAATTTCTCATCTTCGTAGAAACAGAGTTCTAAAAAGCAAATTCAAATTAATTATAAAACCTCAACGATATTGATTTTCTTCATCCTAAAATCTTAGAAAATACTGGAAAAGAAGATAAGCTAAGGTGCATTATCAAATTAAAGCTCAATAAAACATTGTTAAAAGCAGAAAAAAGAAAAAAGGCATAAATATGTTTCTGTTCATTTTGAACAAATACTACACAAAGTATATATAATTTCTTAAAAAATATTTAAATTTACTTTTGCCAATTCCAAAACCACTTTTAACTAAAAGTTTAAAAATACAAACAGAATTAAAATTTGAAATATTTTATATTGCACTTTAATTTGATTGATTTATTATGTAAATCTATTTTAATATTTATAATAAAAATTACTAAGTAAAAGTGTATTTTTTGTTAGTTCACATGCAACATATGTAGCTTATTAAAGAGAATGAAAAGCTTACCCTGTATACAATTCAAGCAAGGAACTAGAAATTAGTCTAAAAATTGTGTTCTTTGGATTCAATTATGACTTAGCCGTACATATCATTACCAATAAGCAAGATGTGAGCTAATCCTTCTTGCATTAAGACCACAGTAAGATCAGCATTGGCAGCAGGATCTGAAATTCAAAGAACAATGCAAAGATTTACAGTCGGAGATAAACAACTCTTTCGTAACACAAACTCAACACATGTTCGTATAATCAAATAAATCATTAGAGAATAGAGAAACAATGTAATTATGTCAATTTCTTAGACTCAAAACACAATTACAGTATATATTAAAGGCGACAATAGCTCAAACCAACAAAAGATTTCTTCTACATATACATTAAAGTATTGGAAAAATTAATCATAAAATTTCAAAAGAATCATCATCAAGGTACACCAGAAAATTAAATAAAATGTTGAAGACCATTTTCTGTCCAACCAAATTATGTGAATGTAACTTTATTCCCCTGTATTATAGTAGTGATGAGTTTTAAATGTTTCCTTTAACGACTATCTAAAGGAAAAGAGGAGCTTACTGTTAACTTCTTCTGCTCTGGTAATTATTTTCTTTATCTAGTAATCTCGGAAAAGACTGGAAAAGAAGAAAAGATGAGATGCATTCACAAATTAAAGCACAATAGAGCATTTTTGAAAGAAAACAAAAAAGTAAAGTGAATTCTTCCTTTTAATTTGTTGTTGTTTGCTTTTGTGAACAGATGGTATGAAATTTTTTGGATATATGTTTGGATATAGCATAAAAAAGAAGCCTCAATTAATTCAGCGTTTCTGTAATCACAAAATATTTATCTGTATATTTTGAAAATATGCCACATAAAATATATATAATTTTTTAAAAATATATAAGTAAAGTTTAAAATACAAAAAGAATTAAAAATTTAAGAATATTTTGAGAAACAAGAAGATGGCAAGTTGAACCATTGCCACAAACTGTCTTTTAATAAAATAAAACTAAAATTTAGGCACCTATATGGAACAAATAAGATTTTATCTTTTACTACCCACTTTTTTTCCGAGAAATGTTTTAAGTGTCTATTTCAGCCATGAAAAGTTGTGCTTTTTTCATGCAATACAAATTCAAAGTCTTATGCGACAAAAGAACGAATTAAAGAAAACCAAAAGCATGAATACCGGTGATGACAAAATATACAGCAAATTATTATTTTGCATAGAAAGATTGGGAGGAATCGTTGGAAATAGATTATTAACTTACCCATGTTATATGCTCAAATGTCAAGTAACCCCGTCACCAAAATTGAATTTTGTATCCACCTCTTTGATTATGAGCACATTATCTAATCTTAAACCAACTTTCCCATCTTCATAGAAACAGATTTCTGAGAAGCAAATTCAAAATAATTATATAACTAAATATAAAACCCCGATGATTCAGATTAACTAATTATTTTGGAAAGACTTAAGACAGCTATATGAACAGAAATTCATTCAGAGTTCAGGGCAAACATAAGATTGCATTATGTAAATGGCAAGGGTAAAATCTACACTAAAACCCTTATAAGCACCAGCTCTTTAACAAATAAAAACTAAAATTTTGAGACAAATTTCTTCTACAACCGCAGCTACAGCAAAAATACTATGATACTAATTAGGCTTCTCAATCCAGTTAAGTACATACAAGTAAATAGTAGTTATTAGAATTCACCAGTTACCTTCTTGAATGTTTAGGTAAGACCCAATTCCATGACCAATACCCTGTTGATATTCAAGACCATATTTCCAGCCAGACATGCTAACAAGAATACCAAGGGTGCATGCCTGTAGAAGGTGGTTAATCAATCAATTAGTGCAATCTACTTATGCAGACCAGTGTTACCTAATAATTTCGAATTTCCTGCAATTGCACTCACTTATTACAATTAAAAGAACATTAAAATCTTAATCAAGTATGTCAATGGACTAAAGTATGCAGCAAGGCATATGTTAATAACGTAACATATGCTTACCGTCATGAACGTTTACATATAATGCAATTCAATGACCAGTAGTAATCAACACCATCTTTGCATAGAGGCTTGCTGATTCCTACTAGAAGGTCAGGGGCAATACCAGGAAAATGTGATTAAAATCAATGTAGAATCTACATATGCAGATTCAATGTTTGGAATCTTCAAGAGAATTGTGAGATTCATAAACCATAACAGATGCCTTGAGTCAAGTATTAAAGAGTAAAAAGGAATTAGAAAAGTGAACCAGGTGTCCACAAAGGCAAGACTAAATAACTCAACAATAAAATTAATAGTTAAATATGACATTTCTTCTTTACACGTATTAGGCATAGCAAGCAGAAGAAAGCAATGGAGCTCACCTTTGTTAAACCGAAAAAGCATCACTTTGCATTCTTAGAAAGGGCTAGATCTCATGTGTGAACTGTTCCAGACAACCTTCAGAAAGTTCTACCTGAAAAGTTTCTAAAAGCATACCAAAATTTAAAGCTAGAACACAATGAATATTTCATATAGTATAATCCATGCTTACAAATAAGTGATGGTTCGGACAACTAGACAAGTGTGAAGTCAGAAGAAATTGTAGCATTTTTAACCATAAAAAGTGGAATGAGTTTTTAAAATCTTTGAATCTTCAAATTGTTCTTCCTCAGTCATGAACAAAAGAGTTAAAGAGTATATCTTGCACAATAGATATGTATTCAACCCAACCTTTTCTCTTGCAATGCTTCATGTCCTGGCAAAGTCATATTCTTCATATTCATTAAATAAAACGCAATCAAACAATTAATTGAGACAATTTATCAAGCACTTTAAAAGCATAATTAATTTGAGATAACCAATACTGAAAAAGAGATGCACCACAACAACAGTAGATCAGCGGCCAAACCAGTAGATCATGAGGGCCACGAAAGTAGATTGCTTTGGCTACACAAGCTGCTCTCGGCGGAGGCAAAGTGCAAGCCAAGCCTTAGTGTTGAAGATAAGTAAATTGCCAAGGTAAATCTATACTATAATCCTTATGTGCATGAGTATTACAGTATACATCTGGTTATACACACAGAATATATATTAAAATTTTATGAAAAAATTTTACTACAACTTGAATTGAAACCAAAAACGGCAATCCGATACTAACCATCTGTTGCCATCATGGAAGCTTGTAAAGGCACAAGTTGGGCCTGGGTTCAAAAACTATTTGAACCCAGTAGATCATGAGGGCCATGAAAGTAGATTGCTTCGGCTACACAAGCTGCTCTCGGTGGAGGCAAAGTGCAAGCCAAGACTTAGCGTTGAAGATAAGTAAATTGCCAAGTTAAATCTATACAATAATCCTTATGTGCATGAGTATTACAGTATACATCTGCTTATACACACAGAATATATATTAAAATTTTATGAAAAAATTTTACTACAACTTGAATTGAAACCAAAAACGGCAATCCGATACTAACCATCTGTTGCCATCATGGAAGCTTGTAAAGGCACAAGTTGGGCCTGGGTTCAAAAACTATTTGACCTGCTTAGGCATTGCAATACCAGAAAGATAAACTAATTAGGCTTCTCAAACCAATTAAGAACATCTATATAAATGCAAGTAGTTGGAAATTACCTCACGCCAGGTTGTAATTCTGGTTCATTTGCAAGGAAACCAATCAGTTCCAAGTAGTGGCTTCATTATGCTTCATTGAACCATTTGACAACAAACTCACCAAATCCCAAGGAACCATTCCTCACAAACATTTCATCAAACATGTTGCATGAAATGCCTTTAACAAACCCAGAATGTATTACAACATAAAAGCTACACAATTCTAACATGTAATCAAAACCAAAAAAAAAAAATTCTTTACCTGTTTACTAAGCCGGTTACACTGTCCGGGATTAATGCACCACTCATTCAGACACCTCTTGTTTGCATTGGCCTCATCTTCCAAAAAATTTTCAGCTTCTGCAGTGATTTTGTCAACATCTGACATCCAGATTTAAACATCAGTTTCTATAATTTCTAATGAAACAATTTCCATGGATGAAAACAAGGAAGAGTAGCGTACAGAAGAACAAAAGAGCCAGAAATGTTGAAGTGGTGGCAGAGTTTCAGCTTTTGAAGGACCAAGAAAACACAGATTTTGAATGAGTTTTGGTTCCCAAATTCAGATCATAAAATACAATAAAATGTTTTATAACATTGTTATTATGCAGGCTATCAAAAGCAATCACAATTCACAAAGACACAAACTCTTCAAGCACTGACGAGGTATATGTCTTTTGATTACTTCTTGTCTGCCATTTACATCATTAAAAATATAATATTAGTGGAATTAACTTTAGGAAAGCTTATAGTAGTGTTTGATTCTTCTACTAGAATTGTCAAAAAAGAAATCATGATTAAAGCAATTACATAATAAGATTACACTGAAAGATGACATCTATTTATATTCTTATACGAACAATTGTAACCTAAAGCTAACACTAATTACAATTGTAACCTAAAGCTAACACTAATTACAATTGTGATAACTAATTGATATTAAAATATGACCTATAATCAAATCTTATTATTTATTAGAAAATATGTTAAGTTTCTGTTTCTTCTTTTATACTAGCTAGCATCACATAATATTGTAAATGCAAGAAAGAAACAAATAAGTACATGCATAAGTCACAACAAGTTCAAGAAATATAAGCATTAGAGAAATAACTCAACAAGAGAAGAAAATGGTCAAGGTAAAATCAATACTCAAACTTTCATGAGCATGAGCATGAGCATATATCTGGCTACACAAACAAAGAATATGATCCGTGAGACTCAGTAAACAAAAGAGATAATAGTTTAAAAAGAAAAAATGCTCATGTAGCTCTTAACAAATTTAAAACCTTATGAAAGCTTTCATCTAAAACTGAAATTAAGGCAAAAAAACAAAGATCTACTTGTTAGGAGTTAGGAGTTAGGAGTTATATGTACTTTTTTCTTATTCTCAAGGGTAGTATAGTTTTTTTACTTAGTTGTATATATATGTAACTTTACTCTTTGAATTATTCTCTTTTTCTTTTGGTTAATTGTAATATGGAACCCTAGTTTTTTCTTTTCTTTTTTTCAATCTTCTTTAAATCCTCTTTGAATCTTTGAGTATGCTAATAATACCAATCCTTTGTTGCAATCACGGAAAGCTTGTATAGGAACTAATTAAATAAGATCCTGCTCAGGCATTGTATCAACACAAAGATCAACTAATTAGGCCTCTAAATCTAATTAATTAAATACATATAAGTAAATGCAAGCACTTGGAATTCACCACTTACCTTTATGAACATTACCTTCATGAACTTTTATTAAATGGGGTCCCATGTCAATAATCAACACCAGCTTTCGTAGAGGCATTCTAGCAAGAATTTCAAAGGTATTACCAATAAAATGTGATTAATCAATCAATCAGTTGAATCTACCTATGTAAACTCACATAAAAAAATTATATAAAAATAATTAAAAACCTTGTTCAAGTATGACAATAGATTAAACTATGCAGCGCAGCCTTCGTTAATAGCATACCTAAAGTTAACACAATATCCACAAACTAAAAAGGAAATTACCTCACACCAGGCTTTAATTTTCATTTGTTCGAAAGCAAAGTAATGAGCTCCAAGTAGTGGCTTCGAATAGACTTCCTTAAACTATTTGATAACACACTCAATACCACAAGCAATGAACCAATCCTCACAAGCATTTCATCAAAAGGAAATTGTTTCTGCCTTGCCTTCTGCAACGAAGACAACAAAGACAAAAGATATTTAGAAATTTGTTTCAATTATCAAAATCAAATATTTTTGTCTTCAACAAGAGAAGACCAATGTATACTTTTTTAAACCTGACATAAGGATTGCAATCAATGTGTATATATATATATATATATTAAAAAAAAATCATGCAATTGACAAAAGCAGTTATAAGTACTCTTTGCCTAAACAGGCCAGCAGTGCAAGAGCAACGATTGTTGCAGCATACTAGGCTAGAATCAATTGCAACATAAGTTGATTCTAAAAGAGTTTATATATCCTACCTTGATTAAATACGTTTAACTCTTTCTTGAATTTAGGACAGTAGAAACACCTGAGACTTGGACCGTGAAACTGATATGCTAGAATCTCAAATGTAGAATAACCTAAAATAGTGGTATCAATCATAGGTGTAGACAAAATTATTGTAATTCTGAGTAACGGTCAATGATCTTTGTTTTGTCAACAACCTACTTGTTAGATCTCTCTAACAGGTTTCTGATTTAAAATAGAATGAAGTTATAACAATAGAGTTAATGTATAGGCACATATTATGCTGCCTCTAGGAACTACAACAACAAATAGCTATTACAAGACATAAGAAACCTAGACTATCAAGACAACTGTTACCTTTTTCTGAAGGTTCCATAATTGAATTTCGATAATTGGGATCTCAAGTAATATTCATTTCTCATACAATTTGTATCATGAAAATTAAGTAAGCAGTATAAAGATCTTCAAAAACATGAAAAATAAATAAATAAATTACCTCTGTAAATTTAAAAGGGCTCACTATAGCCATGTTTGATAGTCACTGGAGGAAATTTTTAAGAGAGATACACATCCCTTCTATGAATAAGTAAGATGTGAGCCAATCTTCTTGCATCAAACAACAAAAAAGAACAGCACTAGCAGCAAGATCTGAAATTCAAAATACAAAGAGCAGAGATAGAGTCAGAGATGAAAAATCCTTTAGTAATATGAATCAACACATGTTCTACCAATCAAACGAATCATTAGGGAAAAAAGAAACAATTTAACTTTGCGAATTTCTTGGATTAAAACACAGGTACAGTATATATGTAAGGTGACACTGGCAAAAACCAACAAAGGATTTCTTGAAAAGAGCAATCATCCAAGTCTTGCTTGGAAAATCAACATAAAAGATATCTAACTAATTTGTAATGCCTATAGTTTGAATTTACGTATAAAATCAAATTTAAGTATAAAATCATATAAAAATCAATCGACAATGTTTGCAGTTTATTTGATGTTGTCAATCAATATATACTCTATTTTCAGCCTGAGCATGAAGAATACAAAATCAATTTTATATACATTCTTCTTCAATCTCATCAATCACTTAGAGATTCTTATACATATGAAATATACAAGTATGGCATATATATATAATCTACTTCATGTTAACTCCTGTGTTAAACTACTTTGATGATATATTATTTGCGTTATGAAATGATAACAGTAAAGAAGGAATATTTGTTTAACTCTTCTACTATCTACTCTACCATACCAGAATGAGAGGATGACCACAGAAAACAATCGATTATGCGATCAAGTTTAATTAGGCTAATCAATATTTTAGGGTCTCAATTTGAACTATCGATAGGACACCATCTCAATTTGGTTGAATATACAATGATATGAATGATCAAGAAAATCAAATTATTCCTACCTCATTACAGTCTCTTGTAATGAAATCCTAAACTATTTCACAGGAAGCAGTTCATTCTTCTCCATCTAGAGGGCAATATTAACACACTTAAGCTGTAAATAAACATTATATGAATAATGAAAAAATTAAGCTCAATGATATGATATTGTGCTAGTTTTAGGTGACTTAGACATAGTAAAACATAATTCATGCCACTTTCAGCTGATCCTACAGGCCTTTAGGGAAGAAATTAACCTGAAATATTGAACAAAATGCTGAGCAATACATGAAGCATGCATGGACACCAAGAGATAATTTTCTTTTTCTCTTCTCACAATCATTATTCTCAATCTAATCAAGGAAAACTCTACATCCTATATATGTATACCCTTGATAACAACTTGTAATTATACTATACCAACACCATAGAATGACCCCATCAAAATAACCCTGTACATGATCACATTTATGCTAACCAACATTTAAGAGTTTTATTTTGAAATTTCAACGAGAAGTAATCACTAATTTACAAAGATTAGTCCATTGAAAGTATGTTATAAACTTTAATAATTGGACTTGGATACCATGCATTATGTACCATTATATTAATGATCTAGAAAATCTGATTATTACAATCTCTTGTATTTATGTTCCAATCTCTTTCACAGCAAGCACTTCACTGCGTCTTCCTCTACAAAGCATAAACACAAACTCTGGTTGTAAATAAACATGTTAAAGAATATGAAATAAGTGGAAGAATATGACTGTATTATGAAAACAAGAGTCATATGTAACGCCCGCTTGAGGTACGCAACTCATATGTGCTCATTTTGCCCTTAAAGTTGTTTTAGTTAAGTGTGTATGTGTTGAAATTGCTTGAATGCCCTGAAATTGGTGAAGTCTTGTTGAAAGTTGTGAAAGGTAGACTTCGCCGCGGCGAAGAGTAGACCCTAGAATTTTTCGCCGAGGCGAAGAATTCCTTTTCGCCGTGGCGAAGACTCGGCTGAAAAGTTTTATGAGTTTCTAAAGAATTCTTCCTTTGGGGAAAAATGACCATTCTACCCCTAATTAGCAGGAAAAGTGGGGAGTGAAATGCAAGGACATTGCATGGAGAATAGTTTAAATGTGGGTACATTTGCAAAGAATTAAAGGGCAAGGTTGGAATTCCTAAGAAAGAGTAAGGGTAAAATGGGAAAGAGTGGAGAAAATATGAGATATTAAGGGTTTAGCTTTAGAAACCCTTTCATTCTTTCTTTTCCACTGCCTCTTCCATCCTTCAATTCTCTCATGCTTTCATTCAATTTTTCCAAGGATTTTTGGAGGGCTTTTGACTAGAAGTTGATACAAGTTAATCCTAAGCACTTAAAGGTAAAAATCCTCACTCTAGATGTGAATTTTTATTGGTGTAAGAGTAGAATCCTTACCAAGTTTGTGTTTAAGGTTTAAGAGAAAACATCAAGCCATCAAGAGTAGAGAGCTTAAGTGGATTCTACTTGAGTATAAGGTAAGTAAATCCACCTAAGTTGTGATTTGCATGATTGAATGATGTATAGAGATTTGTATATGATTAATGCTTGAATTTTTATGTTTGGAATGAGTTGATGGATTTATGAATGAGTTCAATGTTGATTTATGGAGAGATTCCCACCATGAGAAGGGTGGATTGTGTTGATAAACTTTGATAGAAGTATGGAGAGATTTAGAAGAATTTGAAACGAATATTTGAAGTGTGTTTTCTTTGTAGGATGTGTGATGATTTAAAGGAGTTGAACTCCAATTTTGGATGGTTAAGAAAGAAGTAGAATTATAGTTAGAGAAGAGTTTATATATGCACACATATTGTTTGATGAAATGCCTAAGAGAAGCATGAGTAGAAGTAGAGAACCTTACTTTATGCAATATAGCATATTTGCATTTCATGAGTGCATATAAGAAAGATTCTAGGCATAAGCCATCCATATGCATATGTTTATATGTGTAATCATCAAAGATAGAAATATGAGTAAAAAGAACTAATTCTCTTAGAATAAAGAGAAAGAAAGAATTAGCACTAGAGAATAACATGACTAAGAAGTGCTAAAGAAGATAAAAGAGAATAGGTTGTGCGATAGGGAACCCGTGAGTGTAGAATTACCTGCATGTAAACCGCCGTGAGAGAACGGTCTCCGCCATGAGAGAGCGGAATGAGAATGAGAAAAAGAATTCGTATAGTCCGTGAGAATACATGCGGATGAGTGCTATACACGAGAGAGAGTACACTCACATGGCCAAGGGTTCTGAATCCATGCATAAACCAAGACCGATCGGCAAAGAATAAGAATAAGAATAAGAATGAGAATGAGAATGAATAAGAATGAGAAAGAATGAGAAAACATGAGAAAAGAATAAGAAAAGATTAGAAAGGAAAGAAAAGAGAGAAAATGCATTGCTTTGCCTTAGTGCATATGCATCTCATCCATGCATGTTATCATGATATCCCTCATGGGTGATGAGAATAGAGAGAAAGAAAGAAAAGAACAGTAGAAACAGAGAAAGAACAAGAATGATTGAATAAGAGAAAGTGAAAAGAGTAAGGAAAGAATTGAAGAGTAATATACTGGGATAGTGGAGTAGAGGATTCACTTACTGAGCATCTTTGTGCTCACCCCGTTGTTTTCTATGTTTTTGTAGGACATAGGTGAGGTCGTGGTCGGATACAGCGGCAAGCGACGAGACTTGGCTACACTATCCACTGTTTTGAGAGTCTTTTTGTACACATGATATTGTGCTATGTAAAGAATGTATATATCAAGTAAAGAAAATTTTTGGGCTCAACTATTTTGATAAGTATACTTGTATTTTTATTAATAACTTGTATGAATATAATAGTAGAAAGAAGTCATTACATCATACCACTTTCACTTGATCATCACATACCTGTTCATTGAAGAAATGTTGCATTGAGGTTTTAAGGTTACCATTCCAACGTTCTTGATATTGGTTATAAATATAGATAAGATCATATGGAATGATCAAGTAAATCAAACTATTACTGTTTCTTATTACAATTTCTTGTATTGACATCCAAATCCTTTTCACAGCAAGCACTTCATCCTCCTTCCCCTTAAGAGCACTAACAAACTATGGTTGTCAAGAAACATGTATTCTGATGTTTAAACAAAAATCCCAAAACCTTTTCATTCATTAATAATGTTACGTACACAACATAGTTTATGAGTATAATTCTTTTCTCAAAATTTTTCACACACCAATAAGGATCTTCCAAGTTTTCACACGATACATCATTAAAATTTTTCTATGTTTTCTTTGCATGTATGTAGAAATCAAAGAAGTTCAGTTCACAAATTCCTATCTTTCACAATCAAATACTTAGAAATCATGGATGATAGCACAAATTATTTGTAGATTAAGAAAATTCCAAAAGTACAAAGATGATCGAAGCATAAATATTGGAGATAAATTAAATGTAGAGCATATGTTTTGCATAGAAAGATCAGGAGGAACCAATATGATTAACTTCGCCATGTTATATGCTCAAATTTCAAGTAACCTTTTTAACCAAATTTGAATTTTGTCTCCACCTTTTTAACCATAAGCATATTCTCCAATATAACCTGATAATTATATAAATGAATAAAAAATGAAACGGCATAAAGGAGGGGACTCCCCTCCAAGCTACACACATTGGACAGGCCCAAGATTATAACCAAAAAAGAAGGCCGAGAAGAGACAAGGATCTACAATTCTGTACAAAGAAGCCCGAACAACCAAACCCAGCCTTAGCAAAAAAAACAAGGCTCAAGAGATCAAAGTACAAAAATAAAACACCAGCCCAACAACGCAGTCCTGCCCAGCCAGCAAAGAGGCCCATACAAAAGTCATGGGTCATGGCTTCCATAAGAAAGCAGCCAGCCTGCTCAGCAGCAGAGAAGCTCAAGCCGAAACACATGAACCCTCACAATAAACACAAATCCAAGGAGAAACCACACACATGCTGCCAAATGCCAATAACCAGAAGAAGCCATGGAGCCAACAACCATCACCCTTCCAACAACACAGAGAAGACTACCAGCAAAGGACTCAGGCTGCTTCAACGGCCCATCCAACAGAGCAAAGTGATGATTATGGCCCCCAAGGCCGAGGTGGCCGTGACCCACCTGACTAAACTACCAGCAGATCATCCAGCCCAAACAGCTTGGTCCACGAGAAACCATAAGTAAAAGTCCCACTAAAAGGCAAAAGCTTGAACTGATCCATGATGTCGAGAGCAGCTAAATGGGAGCCATAAGAGAATTCAAAAAATTTCCTAGTCCGCTTCTGGAGGAGGTCCAAAGGCGAAGAAAGGGAGAGCAGAAGGGAAAACTGCTGAGAGCTGACAAGGGGAACCCAAGGGAAGCCAGGGAAAATGAAGCCATTTCTCCTTTTAGAGGTACTGGAGTCCAACACCACCAACAGCAGCTCCCAAGAGTCACTTTAGGAAAACCAGTTCTAGTCAACCAGTCCTCTGAGGATATTTGGCTTACTGTGACTCTCCTTCCTTGTCGTCCAAATGCCAACATCAAAAGCTGCCTTAACAACCCATAACAAACCACCTAAGGCCAAAAGTGATTCCAAAGAAGCAAATTAAAGTTAATTAAATGTAAAATTTCAATAATTCTTGCGATGCCACAACCTTCATATTTGGAAAGACTAAAAGAACTAAATGGGCAGGAACTCATTCAAGGCAAACATAAGATTGCATCAAGTAAATGTAAGCGAGAAACAAATAAGTATATGCATGAATGGCAACAACTTCAACAAATGTAAGAACTAGGGCAATAATTTTAAGGATAAGTAAATAGCCAAGGTATCAAACATGATGCATGAATTGCCTTGCAACAAACCCAGAATGTATTAAAACACAAAAGCTACAAAATTTTAACATGTAATCAACACAACATAAACTGTCTTCTTTACCTGTTTACTGAGTCAGTTACATCGTTTGAGATTAATGCACCGCTCATTGAGACACCTTTTGTTTGCTTTTGACTTCATCCTCCAAACATTTTTCATCTTCTGTAGTGATTTTATCAACCTCCAACATACAGAACATCGATTTCTATAATATCTAGATTCCTTTCAGCAGCTTTACTTTGGGCTTCTAACCATCTCCTATACCAGCAAGTTTCTTAATTTGCTTCTCTAAGGTTCCAATGTGTCCTCGTAGTGAAGCAAGTAACCAAACTGACAGCCTGTTGCACCAAACAAATAGTCTAAAAGGTGCTTCCAACAACTACATAAACAATTTCCATGGATGAAAACAAGGAAGAGTAGTTAATTAGTTTGAATGACTTAGCCCTGTTTTGTGCTCAAATGTCAAGTAATTAATCCTTGTCCCAAGATCACTTTCTTCAATCTTACAACAAATTTCACATCCTCATAGTAACAGGGCTCTGAGAAGAAAATTCAAATTAATAACAAATATAAAATCCCAATGATTCTAGGATAACACAACCCCAGTCACAGATTAAAGTATCCAACAGATTAAAGTGATCCAAAAAGTATATGTTAACAACATACCTAAGATAACACATAGCCATTATCCAAAAGGAAATTAATTAAATATAAAACCTCAATGATTCTAGAAATACCATTAATTTTGGAAAGAGTGAGACAACTTATTGGGAAGAAATTTGTTCAGGGCAAACATAAGACTGCATTATGTGTATTTGCATGAATGACAATAAGTTCAAGAAATGTAAGCATCACGGAAATAGTTCTAAAGATAAGTAAATGGCCAGGGCAAAATATATACTATACCATTATAAGCATGAGCTCTTGACAAATAAAAATTAAAATTTAGAGAAAAAATTCTTCTACAACTGTAGCTAAAGCAAAAATACTATGATACTAATTACGCTTCTCAATACAGTTAAGTACATATAAGTAAATACAAGTAGTTAGAACTTAGAATTCATGACTTACCTTTATGAGTGTTGAGGTAAGACCCAATTCCATGACTAGTACCCTGTCGGTATTTGATACAACACGTGAAATGAGGGTTTATAATAAGAGGCGTAGGAAGAAGCACTAGGGAATCAATTGTGATAAAGGGAGCAGCTAAAGTGTGAAGAGAAGCAAAAAGGTAGAATAAACAGGTGGCAACAGATAAGTGGCTGAGAATGGAATTCTGTTAGGGAAGGAAGTGAATAAAAGGGAGCAGCAGATGTTGAAAAGGGCATCAAGAGAGAATAGAGTAAAGGGGAGGTAGCTGGCCCTCGAAGTCCAACGTAGCAGTTCCATTTATTTTCCTTGTTGTTTGTTAATTGAATTCTGGTGTTGAGAAGTGTCCATACAGGAATGTAAATCTGACTTTACCAGGAAATATATACTTGAAGTTCTGAATGTTTAGATTGTTTATACTTAATGGTTGAATATTTGATGCTGTGGGTGATTGAACTGGTACAATAGAGTAGGTTCGCAACAGTATTCAAGAGAAGATTTCCACATAGGCATCTTAGCAAGAATACCAACAGCTCATGCCTGTAAAAGGCAATTAAGGAATCCACCAGTGCAATCTACTTATGCAGATTCAATGTTCTCTTATAATTTCGAATTTGCTGCAGTTGCAATCACTTATGACAATTTAAAAAAAAAAAAAATTAAAATCAACTATGATCAGCAGCCAAGCCAGTAGATCATGAAGGCCACAGGAGTAGATTGCTTCGGCTACCCGAGCTGCTCAAGGCGGCGGCAAAGTGCAAGCCTCAGTGCTACACAGGCAGCTTCTATTGATTTACTGATGAAGACAAAGTCTCATCATGTTAGATTAGAGCTCTTTTGTTTACTGAGTTGGTGTTTCACAAACAGTACTTGTCCAGTAAAAATAAAAACAGCTGGAATGACTATTGCCCACACGGTAACCTACATCGATTGTCAGTTTTAAGATAAGCAAACAGCCAAGGTAAAACCTACATTAAAACCCTTATGCGCATGAGCATGCACTGGCTACACAAACAGAGGATATAAATTAAAATTTTTTGAGTTTATTTATTTATTTTTTGGTTCAGCTAATTTTAAAGCAAAAACAGTTATATGATACTAACCATCTGTTGCAGTCATGGAAGCTTGTATAGTAAGTTCAGCCTGGGTTCTAAAACTAATTAAATGGGGTCTGCTCAGGCACTGCAACACCAGAAAGATAAATTAATTTGGCTTCTCAATCCAATTAAATACGTATAAGCAAATGCAAGTAGTTGGAAATTACCTCACGTCAGACCGTAATTCTCATTTGTTTGCAAGCAAGCAAGCAAACCAATCAGTACCAAGTAGTGGCTTCAATTATGCTTCTTTGAACCATTTGACAACAAACTCACCACGGGTAAGAAACCATTCCTCACAAGCATTTCATCAACCATGTTGCATAAAATGCCTTTAACAAATCTAGAATGTATAAAAACACAAAACACAAGATTGCATTATGTAAATGTAACCAATAAACAAATAAGTATTTGCATGAATGACAAAAAGTTAAGCAAATGTAAGAATTAGAGCAATAATTTTAAGGATAAGTAAATGGTCAAGGTAATACCTATACTACAACCCTTATGAGAATAAGGATGCATCTGGCTACACAAACAGAAACTAATTAAATGGGGTCTTGCTCAGGCAGTGCACACCAGAGAGATAAACTAATTAGGCTTATCAATCCAGTTAAGTACATATGAGTAAATTCAAGTAGTTGGAAATCACTTCATGCCAGGTTGTAACTGTCATTTGTTTGCGAGCAAACCAATCAGGTCCACGTAGTACTTGTTTTATGCTTCTTTGAACTATTTGTCAACAAACACACCACATGTAAGAAACCATTTCTCACAAGCATTTCATCGAACATGTTGCATGAGGAAACCATTCCTCAAAAGCATTTCGTCAAACATGTTCTATGAAATGCCTTAGACAAACCTAGAAATTATAAAAACACAAAAACTACACAATTTTAACATATAATCAACACAACGTAAATTTTATTCTTTACCTGTTTATTGAGTTAGTTACGTTGTCGGGGATTCACTGAGACACCTCTTGTTTGCTTTGACTTCATCCTCCAAAGAATTTTCAGCTTCTGCAGTGATTTTATCGATCTCTGACATCCAGTTCTGAGCATCAGTTTCTATAATTTCTAGATTCTTTTCAGCGGCTTCATTTTCTCCTACACCAGCAAGTTTTGGGTTTTCAAATTGAGATCATAAAATACAATATAATATTGTATTATCATAATTACTTACTATGCAAGGTATCAAAAGCAATCACAATTCACAAACTCTTTGTAAAAGCTGATGTGATAAGTACTTTTACACATGCTGCAGAGATTTTTGAGACTGTATTGGGACCCTTCTTCTTCTTCTTCTTCTTCCTCTATAGAGCATTAATAAACATATATATAATTCAACAATATGATTCAATTCACCCTCCTTGTTGAATAACCTTTCAATTCAAAATTTTGTTTAATTTTTATATTATATATTGCACTTTAATTTAAATGATTTATTATTTAAAAATATTTTATTAATTTATCAATTTTTTAAAATGTCTATTTCTCCAACCACGTTATAGCTAATACTCCTTAAATTAGTAATTTTATCAAAAATTTGATACTAATTTCTTTTGAACAAATCTTTAACCCATTGATTTATAACTGAAATAAGATTAAAAGTCTCATGCACCCAATATATAATAAACAAATTTCAACTACATCATAAATAAAATCTTATACTATTAATTTTTTTTAAACAAACCTCGACGGTACAAGGGAGATTTTATTAATTGAAAAAAAAAAAGATGACACCTAGACAGAGGGGGACGCAATGAGCCTTACCTCTCAAATAAGACTAAATACAATAAAAAATAAAAAGAGAAAAATGATTATGCATGAATTACAAATAATAAACATAAAAGCTTTTACACACTATTAATGTTTGTAAAATATATATACACACACAAACGATAGAGCAAATCAAATTATTAAAATCTCTTGTGTCGACATCTCAATATCTTTCACCAGAACTTCTTCTTCTTCGTCTTCTTCTTCTTCATCTTCTTCTTCTTCTTCTTCCTACAAAAACAATAAGTATTTAAAAGATTTTATTTAGACTCAATTTTGAAAATAAACAATCAGCATTTAACAAATTAAAAGTGCTTATCAAAATATTTTGAAAGGTGATTATGTACTTTAGAAAGGATTTTCGAATAAAAAATTAATTATGTAAACTACTAAAATACTCTAAAAATCAGTATAAGGTATAAACTAATTTGTTATGTGAATAATTATTTAATTTAATTGATAATTAAATATTAGCTTAATTTTTAAAAATAAAAAAATAATAAACATTATCCAACAAGATTGAAACTTGGTTATGCCAGCATCATTGAATACATTACCTTTTGACTATCATAGAGACAATGGTACCATTGAAGTCAGTGGATGAGTTGCTAAAGACAACGAACAATCACCAAAGTCAGTGTTAGTAATGAATATATACATAATCATATGAACAATTAAACAAATCAAATTATCACAATTTCTTATATTGTTGATAATACTAAATAAATAATATAATAGACATAATTCATCCATTCACTCTTACTTAAGCTGATCCTCCTGCCCGTTTCGCCTACAAAAAAAAAAAATAAGCTTATTAATAATAGACACCCCTTGAATTTTTTTATTTAAAATGTATAATTTCAAAAATAGAATGTGAAAAATTATCACACACTAAATATAATAAGATTTATATTTAAAATGTATAATTTATTTTGAAAAAAGAAGGAAATGACAACAACATTCACATAATAAATTGAACTTATTATAATTTTATTAAGAAAAGAAACAAAATTATTTTTTAGGATAAGAGATTCAAAAAATAATAATAATGAAACAACTTATCTGAAAAATTATTATAATTATAACTGTAAAATTATACAATTTATTTTTTGCTGTAGCACCCCTGGCTCCACCTTGTTTTTGTGGATTATTAACAACTTATCTGATTTGACTATTATATTGTGGTTGTGGCATGTTAAATTATGCCAAAGTTTTGCATAAATAAAGATTGCATATAAAAAAGACGATTTAATAAATGCTAAATAAATGGAATGAATAATTAATCTAACAAGGAAAAAAGTAAGCAAATGAATTTGTATAAATATTTGATCATTAAGTACATACCTCTTCTTTGAACAACTCTGCATGTGGTATTCAAGTTGTCATTCCAGCGTTCTTCATCCTCTTTTAAAAGCAATCTTAAGCTTGGGTGTCACTTGCTCTCCATAACCAAAGGTTTTCATTTTTCGACATCCGTTATCTCTAGCCTCTCCAATGCTGGGAATTCAATAGTATATGATCCAGAGCTAAAACAAGTGAGATTGTTTAGACCTCGAAGTTCCAAGAGGTACAAACTAGGAAACCCTATCTTCTCTATTGATGCTTCTTTTTCCCCTTCCTCATTTGTGACTATTTCCTGTATTTTTGGGCAAAAGCTTACTTGAAGATATTTGAGCTTCACTAGGCATTTGACAATGGAAGGGGTGAAGAGGTTTTTTAATTCACGACAAACAAATATGTAAATAGAAGCCAGGTTTCCCAAACTTGGGGAGGTTATGGTGTGGCCTAACTCCTCATATAAAACTTCTTTCTTCTCAAAGATCTCTTCTAAATCATTGCAAAACTTTATATGTATTTCTTCCAAACAAATAAGGGTTTCGAGCAGAGATGGCGAAAATAGTTTTATTAACTTATTGCATGACCAAAGTACTACTTTCTTCAAGTTATGAAGGCTTATGGATTGATGGTCTCCCTTCCATATATGTGACAACTCTGGCAAAGATTCCAATCTTAGATTCTCAAACGATGAGAGTAACTTGGTTTCTCCCTCTGCAATCTTAATATCTTTACAATCAAATATATACACCAATGATCCACAATCTCTTACTGTGAAAGTTTGAAGATTTTGAAAGCTTTGTAACAAATGACTTGGTACAACATTTAACATCATGTGGCACCTTCTCACTCTTAAAACTTTTAATTTACTGAAAGACTGGGCTGGAGGTTGTCCATGACATAGTTCAACCAAGTTGTAATTGTCATAGATACCCAATTCCTCTAAATTGTGGAAAGTTAAGCTTGGTGTCCATTCGAAAGTACTTAGGAGATACTTTATCTCATCACATGATGTAATATCAAGATACTTCAATTCATTGAACCCTTCTTCAACTAGGTTATGGTTAATGCTCTCTAAATTAGCAATTTTCTCTAAAACTAGAAACTCAGTTCTTTTGAGCAAACCTTTAACCCAATCATGAATTTTTGAAATGTTGGTTTGTGAGAGCTTCATATTTCTTGAGTATCTACTCTCATCCCAAAAATAATCACTATATTTACAATAACCTATTTTTAATTTAAAGTTGGACAGGTTATTTTCGAATACCAACAATTTTGGTGTGAGGTCAAGGTTTGAAATATAAATCTCTAAATGAGTCAATCGAGACAAGGCTTGTAACTCAACAAGTTTGGCATTGCTTTTCAAATTTTCACTTTCAGATTCCCATTGCCTAAAACTATTAATATACAACTCCTCTACCTTTGTAAGAGAGGCTATAACACCAAAAGGTATTAGTGTTAACTTTGAACAACCTTTCAGATCTAACAACTTAAGATTACTTAATTGACTAAAGGATACGGGGATCTCCTTCATAGAAGATGTGGAAAGGCTAAGAATCTCTAGTTTACTTAGATTTCCAATCACTGATAGGTCCCCCAATTTGCAACTTCTAAGATTTAGTGTTCTAATAGTTGAGACAAATGAAAGTGATTCAGGCAATGGCAAGAGTTTAGTTTGACTCAAATCTAAAACTTTGAGATCTTTCATACCTTGAAAGAAATTACTAGGGACAACCAAATCAAAATTATTCTGCAGTAACAAAGCCTGCAGTTTTGGACATTCCAACCCATTAGGTAGCTCCCTAATATTATTTGCCATCAATGAGATACATGTGAGATTTTCAAATGTATCTCCATTTGACCACTCTTGTAATCCAAGGCCAGCTTTTACCATGAATCTATGGTTGTGTTTCGGAGCTATCATTAATGCAAAATCACGGATAACATCATGCATTTTAACAAATTTTTCACCATCATCAATTAAGAGAAAAGAAGAGGTGATGGTACTTACAATACCAAAGATTCTATCTCTGATATCTTCTATCTTCTCATCGACGTTTTTGAACCACCGTAAACCGATCCCGTATCTAACCAAATCTTCAATTGGAATTCTGTAATCGTCTGGAAATAAGCTACAAAATAAGAAAAGTGTTTTTTTCTCCACACTTTCCAAATAATTGAAGCTCAATTCTAGAGATGAAATAATGTTTCTCTCCATTCCTGGGATGTTTGATGGGGTAGACCTTTTAAGTTGTTGCAAAGCGTCCCTCCAAACACTAGTGTTCTTGTCCTTTAATGCTCTTGCTACTATCACAATAGCAATCGGCAAGCCATCACATTTAGCAGCTACATCTCTTGCAATTGGGCTTATCTCAGTTGTTTCGACATTCGAGCCAGCAATTTCTCTGAAAAGCACCCAAGATTCTTGTTTCGATAAACTTTCAACTGTAAATATCTTTTGACAAGACATTTGATTACACACAATTTCGCTTCGAGAGGTGATAGCAATTTTACAACCGCGATGATCATTCCCAAAAGGAATACCAATGTCATTCAATTCAATTCTTTCCCAAACATCATCTAGTATTACCAAGATGTGCTTTTTCTCCTTGATTTTGTCCCACAAGAAATGTGCTCTTGCTAATTCAGAATTAGGCGGCAAGGACTTTGTTACACCTAACATGCCAGCAATGTCGCCTTGAATCTTCATAATACTCGGGGTTTGAGAGATAACCACCATCACTACTTCATCATATATTTTTTCTTCTTTTGCTTGTTGGCTGATTTCTTTCACTAGCGTGGTCTTACCCACGCCCCCCATCCCACATATTCCAATTATGCTGACATTATGATCATCAATTAACACCTTCAGGATTTGCTTCTTAATTGAATTTCTAGATTCAAAAGTGCCTGAAGAAAATAACTTCGATGACGATATAATTCCAGATGGAGGAGCAGGACAAGACACACTCTCAAACATTCCCACTTCCTGGAGTAGATCAGAAATCACCAAAGTATGCTTCTTTGCCTCCTTACTGAACCGATAGCGTTGTCCGAGAATGCACCACCCTTTGAGACGCCTCTTGTTTGCTTTGTTTTCATCTTCCAAAAAGCTCTCAGCTTTTGCGAAAATATCATCAGCTTCAGCTATCCAACTTTGGACATCAACCAAGATTATTTCTCCATTACTTTCAGCAAATTTGATTTTCTTTTGCACCGTGTATCTGCTATCTGCCAACTTCTTAGCTTGCTTTTTCAAGATTTCAATGTTGTCGTTGTAATGAAACAGGTAACCAACTTGATCGCGAGCGGCAGCAATTGAAGAACCAATTTCCATTGCTTTTGTTTTTGGTTTTTTTTTTTTTTTTTTTTCTTTTTTTTTTTTGTGGGGTATAAGGAGAGAATTCTATTGAGTGCTCTTTGAAGGTGAGAGAAAAATAAAAGAAAGGATTTCAAGGAAAGGTTTAGGAGAAATTTTGTGGCGTAGCAACAAAGAGGAGGACACAAACACAATCAGATGAAGAAAGAATGAATGATTGAGTGTTGTGAAATGATAAGAAGAAAGAAAAGCACAAAAGTGAAAGAAGTAAATATATATGATTTCAAGCAAGGTGAAAGAGAGAATTCTATTCGAATGATTGAAGGTGAAAGAAGGATAAAATATATGATTTCAAATGCAATTTGAGAAATGATAAGAATAAGAAAAGCACAAAAAGAAAAGTGATTTATATGAAGAAGGAAAGTATGTAATTCATCTTTGAAATTTTTCGAATGATTCCATCCTCTGCCTTTGCTGTCAAGGCTGCTTGGTTCCATCCTTGTTTCAACATCATTCTTTACTTTTATAACATGTTAATGTGTTAGAATCTATAATTAATGTAGATATATACTATAAGAAATGTCTTCAGAAATAAAAATTCAATATCTATACTGAGCATAAAGAATACAATCAGCTAGGTATAAAACCAAATTTACTACACAATCAAATTTACGTATAAAATCATATAAAAATCGATCGACAATGTTTCAAGTTCATTTGATGTTGTCAATCAATATGTATTTTGTTTTTAGCCTGAACATGAATACAAAATCAGTTTTATATACATTCCTCTTCCATCTCATCAATCACTTAGAGATGCTTAGGCAAATTTATTAAACTATTCTGATAATATATCATTTGAATAATGAAATGATAAAAGTAAAGAAAGAAAAGCATAAAAAGAAGAAGGAATATTTATATGAAATAAGAAAAAAGAAAGGTTGCAGGATAAAGCAAAGAAAAGTAAATGGTATGAAAAAGAAAGGTATGCAATGCACCTTGGAAATGAATGATTCTATCCTTCGCCTTAGCTTCCAAGGCTACTTTTCTTTTATAACATGCTTCTATGTTAGATGAATCTTTAATATATTCAAAATCAAATGTAGATATATTATATGACAATGAGCCTTAATCTGAGACTAGTAACAGTTCCATGTAGATTATACAATTTGAAGTCTAATGTCATTAAACAATCTTTCAATATATTAATTAAACATTTAAGACAATAAGACCAATATGAACAACAACTTGAGTGTTTTTTGCTAGACCAAATCATCCAATTTAAAATTTGTGGATTTTGCACAGCCATTTTCTGATACATGCCTTTTTTTTTAGAAAAAAATGTTTTTCTAAACTGTTGGCCAGGTTGATGTTTTCACATTTGGCAATATTCATTAAAGAACTTTCTAAGAAAGGTTATTGACCATATCATCATAAATATATTTAGAAAAAAAGTAATCTATCCAACTCATCCTCAATCATTTTTTTGGCAACAAAAACAGAATCATTAAATCTTTACCATAATTGACCTTTTTTGTAATGTCTATGTTTTAAATTGAATTTAAAATAAAAACTTTAAAATTTACAAATAATTGTGTTTATTTCTTTTAAATTGTCGGCCGCAAAGATGCCAAGTGAGATTGTAAGGACAATTTGTAAAATTCTTATTCTTATAAGATGTCAATTGGCAAAGTATGAAACAGCAAAAGAGGTTACACATTAAGCAATCCTAAATACTAAGTAATCATATTAATCACTCTATTTGAATAGTCTAACGGAAAGATTAATTTAAATTCTTGAATAATAACAAAACATTTACTAATCATCTTTTTAATGTCCTTAACATGTGAATTTGAGACGTAAATTCAGAAAACCTATATAAGAGACCCATTAGAAATTAGAAATTAGACGTAAATAATGCACTTGTGTCTTTTACCTTCTCACGTTAATAATGAAGTAAGGAACCTTTTATGTCATTTGATGAAATTAGATATATGTTTAAAAAATTAACGTTTTATGTTAACTCATGTGTTTACTATACTAACATCAAAGAATGACTTATAAAATTATCGTGTGTTGTATAACCAAGAATGTCAAAATTGTCCGCATCAATAATAATGAAGAAAAAGAAGTTGGAATTTTATATATGAAGTCACAAATGAAATGGAAGGCTATGAAGAAGAAAGGTTTGTAATTGATCTTGAAATGAATGATATTTCATCCTTTGCCTTTGCTCTCTTCTCAAGGCTGCTTGGTTCCATTCTTATTACAAGTTAAAGCATCTTGTCTTCAGAAAGAATGTTGTCTTCTAAAAGAAATATATTCAAATTAATGAAACGTAGATATATTCTATAACAGAGAAATCCAGAAGTATTCTTGTCTAAAGCATAGAAAGTTAAAGTGTGACACCGATCGAGAACTAATTTAATTTTGTCCATCTGAATATCACAATTTCTCACTTTAAATAAAAAAAATTACTACTGGTATCTTAAAAAGCATAAAGCAAGAAGGGTATCTATGAATGATTGCAGTCTTCTTACATAAAAGAAAGTAAAAAAAATGATTAAGGATAATTATGATGGATATGGAACAAGAAATAAGAAAAGTTCAAGCATAAAGTAAAGAAAACATTAAAATAATAATAATAAAAAAAATTAAAGTGCGTGATATGACGAATCAAGATATTTAATTTAGCTCATTCTTTTATTTTATAAAATGCTCAACGTAATTGTTGTCTTTCCTCCTGATTAGGTTGGTATAACCTTGATCAAGTTGTTTCCTCATGATAATGAAATCCTAAATAATTGAATTTTTTTCTAGTTGAAAAATTATTGTTCAAAGTCACAAATCTTTTGACAAAATGAAAGTAATATAATCTCAGAAAAAAATTCAAAAGGGAATTTGTCTACACTAATCTATAGCCATGACAACTACAAGGTATAAAAGATTTAATAATGCTGTTGGAGAAATGGTTTCAGATAAATATATATATACTCAAGCAAAATGAGCATACTGCATATCTTCCATAGCTCAATGCACACTCTCTATGAGGTTGGCGTAAACATGATTACACGTCCAATTGATCCATCCTGCTCACAAAACTATTGTATAGTACGAGGAAAATCAATCAAAGTTTCCTTCACTAACAGTTTATTGTAAGGCATGCTCTGCTTCCCTCAAGAATTAGCAAGTGAGTTCCTTTTGTCCTCGCCGATATACTATACTCGACCACTTGCTTCTACTCATCTTGTATTGGGTCAAGCCACAAGTCTCCTTGCTGCAGCAATGCAAAAATAAAGTCATCTTAGTTAAAAATGACCATATAGACCAACTTATTTCTTGAAAGAACCCTATTGAACAGCAATGATTACCTCTTCCCTCTATAAGATTAACTAGTTCAGAGTTAAAACAAACTAATAGGTACAGGTTGATACCTTGAGTTAATCCTCATAATTTGCATGTAATCATAGGCTAGTCAATCACTCCAACTTATGATTATTTTGATTCAGGCTAATTGCCTAATGAAACAAGAACGAACATTTTCTACCAAATCGTCAATATATTAATAGTCATGGAAAATTCGATAGAACGAAAAGTCTGCATTATACTTGTGACCATATTCAATAGCGTACTATATCAACACCATAGCATAACATCTGCATTAACCACATATGCTAAAAGACTCAATATCCTATACAAAAGAAATCAAATGAATTGCAAGTAAATGTTGTTTAGAATTACTGCATTAACGGAAATTGTGTTGCCACTCACCAAACAAAGGGGCTTCTACCACTTAATGCAGTCCAGTCACTTTATAAAATCCAATGCGTGCCATCAAAAGTGTTGGCACTGCAAATTTCAATGGTGATCCTCATAATTTTAGAGCGTCTATTAGCAGGAGTTTTCCCTGTAGAGATTTCAATAAAATAAAAAGCAGCAGTCGGTGTCATATATGTGATTGTTGACACATTGGATATATAGAAAATGATAGTTAAGTACCAAATTGTTTTCAACAACTAAGGCCTCTATGTTATGTTGATTTAGCAATTGTAGGTGAAGCCTTTCAGCGGCAATCCATTGTCAAAGTGATATCATTGAAGTTAGGATCTAAGTTACCCAATATTACTGCCTCCTATTTGCCTAAACAAGAAACTTTTCAACACTTACTCCAAATTTTAGGTTCATTGATATTTGGTGAGGGTGTCAATCCAATCCCAGAGAATGCTAGCAGTGTAATAGCAACAATTGTTTAATTAAATTAAAAAGATATCCTAGATTATGCAAGGGTAAAAGTTGAAAGATATACAAGAATTCCTTGAGTTTAGGACTGTAGAAACACTTGAGACTGAGGCTATGAAAAAGATATGCAAGAATACCAAATGTAATAGGAAAATAATACAACTACCAAAAAGAGCGCACCCAATTTATGCACCGAATGACGTGGTATAATCTTGACCGTCGATTAATTATGAATTAATATTAATCGACGGTCAGGATTACATCACGTCATTTGGTACATAAATTCGATGCGCTCCTTTCGATAATTGTGGCATTACTCAATGTAAAATGCCTAAACTCTGAGCAATCTTCTTGTAGATGAGATTTCTAACCTGAAATGGGCCATTAAACTCTCCTCAATGTTTTCCAATGGCCAAGCTAACAAACTACATTTTCAGAAATGCCCCAAAGACCCCAAATGGATTCTGGCCCATTCATGGCTTCGTATAGTAGCCCATATCAGCTTTGACACTTTTGGGCTATTATTTAATATATATATATATATATTTATGAATCTAATAATAAATAATTTTTTTTAAATATAGTCAATAAAGTAAATTAAATTAATGTGAACAATTTTTTGTTAAAAATTACCAATTTTTCCAATCAATTTTATTTTCATTTATTTTATAGTTAGGATTTTGTTATCATAACAGTTCTCTCTCAAACCCTATTTTTAATTTATTTATTTAATTTTTATATTATAACCATTGTAGTCTTACCAGACCCACTCACCCAAATTGTAGGCTCTCCATTTGAATACAAATATTTTGTAATAGAACACAAATTGATATTTAATTCAACGAGAAAAGTTAATTGTTTGGGGATTATAAAATTAAACAAAATAAATGAAATACAAAATATATATTAAAATAAATAAATTATTTCTTTTTAATATTCTTTACACACACCCTTAAAATACAAGATAAGATAACTCATAAATAAATTTATCCATAAACGTGGTCCCCTTTGAGAAAAAAAAAAACTATTTGAAAAAACATTTTCCCGCCCATCATTAAAATTCAAACACATAACAACTCCCTTAACTTTTTAAGAGAGGGTAGAAAACCACGGGGTATTAATGGTTGCTTCAAATAAGAATTCAAATGTAACAACCTAAGAATAGTTAATTGACTCAAGGATATGGGGATTTCCTCAATAAAATCAGAATTGGAAAGGTCAAGTATCTCAAGTTTACTTAGCTTTCCAGAGCTTCATATTCTGCCAGAGTAGGTAGACTTCGACGTAGGAAACGGTTATGCCAACGCACATCGTGTGTCGGGATAGTCCATGTTTCTCGTGGTGAACATAATGCAACTTGAATTGAAATGAATTTTCCCAGATTCTCTAAGCATGTAATTGGTGAAAAAATGTGTGTAGATGAATCAAAATGCAAAGGAAATGGGTGGAAAGGTGGGTGAAACAGCACAGGATGTTTCTGAGAAGGCAAAACAAACAGGGGAAGGAGCATGGGGCTCAGTTAAGGATACAACTAAGAAAGCTAAAGAATCATTGATGGGTAACGCTGAAGCTTCCAAGGAAACCGTCAAATAGCATGCCGAGGAAGTGAAGAAAAACATGAACATGAAGAACTGATTATTGTTTTTGTTCAATGTCATTTTAAGTTTCACTCATATATATGTATAGTTATTTCGTATTTCAAGTTTTAACCTAAAGAAATTAAACTTATGTTCTTTGGTATTGACAGTGCTATTCTTTATGGAGTGTTTGATAAGAAAAAAGAAATTTATCCTTTTTCAATCTAAGAAATTCTGATTTGAGTTCTCATAATTGTTTGAGACTGACGACAAGCTTGTCCCCAGTTGAATGCATGTCTTCTTCATTTGTTTGTTATCACACTTGAGACATATTCATTTATACAAATAAATAACTTTTAGAAAGTTATACATTTTTCATGTGGGATTGAGTATATTGAAAAATGTTCTCACATGAATGATTATCTTTTGCAACAATAAGGTTAAAAGTCCCATGCACCAAATTTATAATAAGTAAATTTCAATTACACCATGCATAATATCTTATACTATTAATTTTTTTTTTTTTTTTACGCAAACCTCGACAATACAAGGGAAATTTTATTAATTGAAAAAAAAAGAATGACACCTAGACAGAGGGGTATGTAATGAGCCTTACCTCTCAAATAAGACTAAATACAATAAAAAATAAAATGAGAAAAATGATTATGCATAAATTACAAAGAATAAATATAAAAGCTTTTACAGACGCCATTAATATTTGTAAAAAATATATATACAAAATAATCATATGAATAATAGAGCAAATCAAATTATTACAATCTCTTGCATCGACATCTCAATATCTTTCATCAGAAGTTCTTCATCTTCTTCTTCTTTACTGCCTTCCTCTTACAAAAACAATCAACATTTAAGAGATTTTATTTAGATTTAATTTTGGATTGTTATAGTTTATAAAATAATTAACTACTTCTGAAATAAGTAGTTAACGACTTCTTCTTTTTCCTCTAGAATGCATTAACTAACTCGTTATCAATAAACATGTAAAAGATAAATATATAACTTTCAACTGATCTTCCTCCAAAAACAATCAAATTGCTTCAAATAATACAAATTAAAAGTGTTTATCAAAATATTTCGAAAAGTGATTATGTACTTTAGGAAGGAATTTCAAATAAAAAATTAATTATGTAAATAATAATTACTAAAATATCCTAAAAATAAATATAAGGAATAAACTAATCTTTTTTATGTGAATAATTATTTTATTTTATTTATAATTATATATTAACTTAATTTTTAAAAAAAAAAAAAAAAAATCTATCCAACAAGGTTGAATTTTTCCCTCCCTTCCTTCCATAGAAAAACACCATCTTCACTATTCATTATGCCAACATACTTGAATATATTACCTTTTGACTATCAAAGCGGTACCATTGAAGTCGGTAGATGAGCTGCCAAAGACAACGAACAATCACCAAAGTAGCCACCGTCTATTGATCCGTCAGTTTTATTATATTTTTCCTTTTGAATTAGTATTAGTAATGAATATATACACAATCATATGAATAATCAAACAAATCAAATTATCACAATTTCTTGAGTTGTCAATAATACAGAATAAATAATATGATAAAACATGATTCATACCATTTTTACTATTTACTTTAAGCGGATCCTCCTGCCTGTTTCACACTTTCACCTACAAAAACAATAAACTTATTAATAATAGACACCTCTTGAACTTTATTATTTAAAATTATAATTTCAAATATAGAATGTGAAAAAATTATCACACACTTAATATAATGAGATTTATTATTTAAAATGTATAATATATTTTGAAAAAGAAGAGAAATGAAAACAATATTCACAGAATAAATTGAACTTGTTATAATTTTATTAAGAAAAGAAACAAAATTATTTTTTAGGATTAAGAGATTTAAAAAATAATAATAATAATAAAAAAAAAAAAAAAAAAACCCTTATCCAAAAAATTAATTATAAATATAATTGCGAAGTTATAAAATTTGTTTTTTTTCCTGTAGCACCCCCTGGCTCCACCCCTGTTTTGTGGATTATCAATAACTTATCTGATTTTGACTTTATCATATTGTGGTTGTGGCATGTTAAATTATGCCAAAGTTTTGTATAATTAAAAGATTGCATATAAAAAGTCAATTTAATGAATAATTAATCTAACAAGAAAAAAGTAATGCAAATCAATTTGTAAAAATATTTGAATATATACCATTACTCTATTGAATTGAATGTCATATTTATATATTTAACTGAAATAAAGTGCATGGATGAGAAGATCTCAATGGAAAATGCTAAAACTTTACAAAATTAATTACAAGATATAGCTGTTTCATCATTAACTACATACCTCTTCTCTGAACAACTCTTGCACTATGCCATTCAAGTTGCCATTCCAATTTTCTTCATCCCATGTTCGCATTTTGTTAGGGACACCAGATATAGGCTTTAAGGACACCACAACATACCCGTCAAAGTGAAGCAAAAATGAAAAAAATCCACAATATTCTGCCACGATCTACACTCAAGTTGGTAAAAAATGCCAACTAAACCTAATTTGTTAATAGTTCATGTAGCTTGACAACCTCTCATTAATTATTAACAAGCCAGTAATCCCAGCATAACTTAAAAATTCCACAAGTGAATAAGGTTTTACATATCCTAATCCAAATATCCTTTTCATTCCACCTTATCGCTATATGATATCACACCCTCAAGAAAGAAACTAGCATATAGCAAAATTTACACTATTGCATTTGTGTTTTCAAGTGTACTGACTAGAACTCCAAATAACGGAAGTAACTAGAGCTGCAAACAAATTGCAAGTAAAACTAAAAAGCAGACTTACATTTAGGAGATAACTCAATGCACACTCTCTATGAGGTTGGCGTAAACATGATTACACGTCCAATTGATCCATCCTGCTCACAAAACTATTGTATAGTACAAGGAAAATCAATCAAAGTTCCCTTCACTAACAGTTTATTGTAAGGCATGCTCTGCTTCCCTCAAGAATAAGCAAGTGAGTTCCTTTTGTCCTCGCTGATAAACTATACTCGATCACTTCTTTCTACTCATCTTGTATTGGGTCAAGCCACAAGTCTCCTTGCTGCAGCAATGCAAAAGTAAAGTCATCTTAGTTAAAAATGACCATATAGACCAACTTATTTCTTGAAAGAACCCTATTGAACAGCAATGATTACCTCTTCCCTCTATAAGATTAACTAGTTCAGAGTTAAAACAAACTAATAGGTACAGGTTGATACCTTGAGTTAATCCTGATAATTTGCATATAATCCTAGGCTAGTCAGTCACTCCAACTTATGATTATTTTGATTCAGGCTAATTGCCTAATGAAACAAGAACGAACATTTTCTACCAAATCGTGAATATATTAATAGTCATGAAAAATTCGATAGAACGAAAAGTCTGCATTATACTTAGTGACCATATTCAATAGCGTACTATATCAACACCATAGAGTAACATCTGCATTAACCACATATGCTAAAAGACTCAATATCCTATATAAAAGAAATCAAATGAATTGCAAGTAAATGTTGTTTAGAATTACTGCATTAACGGAAATTGTGTTGCCACTCACCAAACAAAGGGGCTTCTACCACTTAATGCAGTCCAGTCACTTTATAAAATCCAATGCGTGCCATCAAAAGTGTTGGCACTGCAAATTTCAATGGAGATCCTCATAATTTTAGAGCGTCTATTAGCAGGAGTTTTCCCTGTAGAGATTTCAATAAAATAAAAAGCAGCAGTCGGTGTCATATATGTGATTGTTGACACATTGGATATATAGAAAATGATAGTTAAGTACCAAATTGTTTTCAACAACTAAGGCCTCTATGTTATGTTGATTTAGCAATTGTAGGCGAAGCCTTTCAGCGGCAATCCATTGTCAAAGTGATATCATTGAAGTTAGGATCTAAGTTACCCAATATTACTGCCTCCTATTTGCCTAAACAAGAAACTTTTCAACACTTACTCCAAATTTTAGGTTCATTGATATTTGGTGAGGGTGTCAATCCAATCCCAGAGAATGCTAGCAGTGTAATAGCAACCAACTTTTTCAATTAAATTAAAAAGACATCCTAGATTAGCGAGGGTAAAAGTCACAAGATATACAAGAATTCCTTGAGTTTAGGACTGTAGAAACACTTGAGACTGAGGCTATGAAAAAGATATGCAAGAATCCCAAATGTAATAGGAAAATAATATAGTTACCGAAAGGAGCACACCGAATTATACATCGAAGACGTGACACATCCTGACCGTCGATTAATTATGAATTAATATTATCGACAGTCAGGATCATACCATGTCATTTGGTACATGAATTCGATGCGCTCTTTCGGTAACTATGTATTACTCAATGAAAATGCCTAAACTCTGAGCAATCTTCTTATAGATGAGATTTCTAACCTGAAATGGGTCATTAAACTCTCCCAGTGTTTTCCAATGGCCCAGCTAACAAACTACATTTTCAGAATGCCCCAAAGACCCCAAATGGATTCTAGCCCATTCGTGGCTTCGTATGGTAGCCAATATCAACTTTGACACTTTTGGGTTGTTATTTAAAACATATATTATATATATATATATATATATATATAATATATAATATATATATATATATATTATATTATATAATGCCCTTAAATTACAAACACGTAACAATTATCTCCACCAACTTGGGAATTAGGCATTCAAACCCCTATCTTCAATTTCAAAAAACCTGTGAAGAATAAAAACTAGCCAACATGTACATCGGTCAACCACTATCGTGGGATTAGAGATGGGCAGTTAGGACTGGGTCCAAAAACTCAATCCAAAACTCGGTCTTAGAAGACCTGGTCCCGTGGAGGAGGGCCCAATCCCTCCACTGGGTCCTCGGGCCTGGCCCAATCCCTTATACAATTACTATAACCCCTTAAATTTGAGAGTAAACATAAATTATGGGTTAAAAGAAAATATTACAAAATTTTTTTAAAAAAAATTCTCCAAGCCCTAAAAAATTTATAAAATTTAAAATTTTACCTCTGAAAAATACTAAAAACCTCCTACAAATTTTGTTTCGCCCCTAAAATATAAAAAAAAAATCGGGGGAAAAAAAAAATTTCCAAGCCCATAAGACCGGTCCGAGTCCTAAATTGCTCATGGGCCTAGGACCGTCCCAGTCCCAAACAGGCCCAGGCCTGGGTCTGCTTGGGACTGGTCATGACCAGCTCTAGTGGGATTTCTTATAATTACAACATATTTATTTGTGGGAATAACACTACAGAACATAGGGTAGAGGTTATAATGTTAATTCTCCTACAGATGATAAAATTTAAACTTGTTAATTTATGATTCAATGGTCTACAATCTTCTAAAATATTTCAATTCATTTATGCCAATGCCAAAACCATTTTTAAATAAAAGGTAAATATTCAAAAAGAATTAAAATTTAAATTATTTCAGGAGACAAGAATAAAATAAAAATTAAAGTTTATGCACCAACATTGATCAAATAAGATTTTATCTTTTTTTCCAAGTTTTTTATGTGTGACAAAAGAACAAACAAATTAAAGAATAGCAAAAGCAGGAAGATACAAACCATCTGTTGCAGTCATGGAAGCTTGTATAGCAGAGGCTGAGCCTGGGTTCAAAAACAAATTAAATAAGGTCCTGATCAGGAATTGCAACACCAGAATGATAAACTAATTAAACTTCTGAATCCAATTAAGTAAAAGTCGTGACTTTTTTTTTGTGCTTCCTTGAACTATTTGACAACAAACACCACACGTAAGGAACCATTCCTCATAAGCATTTCATCAAACATGTTGCATGAAGAAACAATTCCTCAAAAGCATTTCATCAAACATGTTCTATGAAATGCCTTTAACAAACCCAGAAAGTATAAAAACACAAAACACTACACAATTTTAACATATAATCAACACAGCATAAACTTTATTCTTTATCTGTTCATTGAGTAGATTACGTTGTCTGGGATTTATTTACAACTCCATTAACTTTTTAAGAGAGGGTAGAACACCACGGGATATAAATGGTTGCTTTCAACAAGAATTCAAATGTAAGAACCTGAGAATAGTTAATTGACTCAAGGATATGGGGATTTCCTCAATAAGATCAGAATTGGAGAGGTCAAGTATCTCAAGTTTACTTAGCTTTCCAGAGCTACATATTCCGCCAGAGTAGGTAGACGTCGACGTAGGAAACAGTTATGCCAACGCCCATCGTGTGTCGGGGTAGTCCATGTTTCTCGCGGTGAACATAAAGCAACTTGAATTGAGTTGAATTTTCCCAGATTCTCTAAGCGTGTAATTGGTGAAAAAATGTGTGTAGATGAATCAAAATGCAAAGGAAATGGGTGGAAAGGTGGGCGAAACAGCACAGGATGTTATTGAGAAGGCAAAACAAACAGTGGACGGAGCATGGGGCTCAACTAAGGATACAGCTCAGAAAGCTAAAGAATCATTGATGGGCACTGCTGAAGCTTCCAAGGAAACCGTCAAACAACATGCTGAGGAAGTGAAGAAAAACATGAACATGAAGAACTGATTACTGTTTTTGTTCTATCTCATATTAAGTTTCACTCTTATATATCTATATATAGTTATTTTGTAGTAGTGCAGATGTCTCAGCGCCGTAAGAAAGTGATGAACTCTCTGTTTAAGTCAGCTAGAAAACATCGTTTACTAACTCACTTTATATAACTGTTCGTATTTTAGGTTTAAACCTAAAGAAATTAAACTTGAGTTTTTCGATTGAATGCATGTCTACTTACGTTTTGTTTGTTATCACATTCGAGGCATATTCATTTATATAAGTAAATAACTTTTAAGAAGTTATAGTTCATGTGGGATTGAAAAATATTCTCATGTGAATCGGATACAATAACATATTTGATTTTAAATATCTTTCACGACAATAAGGTTAGTCATATACCCAATTTATAATAAATAAATTTCAATTATGTCATAAATAAAATCTTATATTATTAATTTTTTTAAGCAAACCTTGATGGTACGAGGAAAATTTTATTAATTAAAAAAAATGATGACATCTAAACAGAGAGGGACGTAATGAGCCTTACCTCTTAAATAAGACTAAATACAATAAAAAAGAGAAAAGAGAAAAATGATTATGCATGAATTACAAAGAATAAATATAAAAGCTTTTACACACACCATTAATATTTGTAAAAAATATATATACAAAATAATCATATGAATGATAGAGCAAATCAAATTATTACAATCTCTTGCATCAACATCTTAATATCTTTCAAAAGAAGTTCTTCATCTTCTTTTTCTTCGTCTTCTTCTTCCTACAAAAACAATCAGCATTTAGGAGATTTTATTTAGACTTAATTTTGGATTGTTATAGTTTATAAAATAATTAATTAGTTCTAAATTAGTGCTAACACAATCAAACCCTGGATGACCTTCCATTGACATTCTCTTAATACTGGTAAAACCTAACATAAAACATGGGACCTGAAGATTTGAACAAAACACAACAAAAAACTAAGTAATAAAATTTATTCAACCAAACTAGATACTAGGCTACTGTTGCTTAAAGTTTCCGCCTAAAGGACAGAACACAAACAGATCAAAATACCAAAAGAATAAAAAGCAAAGAAAACAATAATAGTACAAAAATAACTGGCTAACATCTATATATATTTTTTCATCTAGGAGATGTGTATTCTTTCGAGGTCTGGTGTTCAAGTTTGAGATGGGAGAGAAGAAAGGTAAAGTTATTTACACATATATGTAGCTGTATCACCTGGATGGACAAGGAGGCAAGGAACCACAGAAATGAGGGACACCCGATTGTTTTTGTTTTTCTCTGAAAAAGTGAAATTTGATCAATGAAACTCCTTTTTGACTGGGGTGGTTGAAATGGCAAAGGCACCATGAGAAATGCATACGAGAGTAACAAAATTCATTGCAAATTAAATATATGAACAACAATGAAAGGGGGAGGGAGATGACCCTGCAAGAATTCCAGAGAATGATCTAGTATCCAACTGTTAATGAGGACAATGACTAGAATTACATACGACTCTAACCTCTGAGGCAAGTTGAATTTCATAATTCTATTCAGGAAAAGAAGAATAAATATCTCCACATATCAAACAAATGACAATAAGTACTGCAGCCTCACTGGAATGTCTTGCAAAAAAAACACATGCACAACAGAAACAGAAGCTTGTACTGGTACACGGACCATTGTATGCATAAATGCCCTTACCAATGATGATGGCATCAAAGACAATGATACAACATTGAGCATCAGATAGACGAATTTTTGGAAGAAACCTTCAATTCAAGGAGAAATCATTCCTCCTTCTCTCTTAACGGTATTGACCCCCAAAACCTACTTCTACTCCTACTCCAACTCAACTCCTTTAAAAAACAATCATGGACAGGAGTCTATACATCAGATACAGGCTTTAGGGACACCACAACATACCGTCAAGGTGAAGCAAAAACAAAAAAATCAACAATATTCTACACACATCTACACTCAAGTTGGCAAAAAGCCAACTAAACTTAATTGTTAATAGTTCATGTCGCTTGACAACCTTATTAATTATTAACAAGCCAGTAATTTAGCATAACTTTAAAATTCCACAAATTATAAGGTTTTACAAATCCTAATCTAGATATCCTCTTCGGTCCACCTTATCGCTATATGATATACACCTTCAAGAAAGAAAGAAATAGCATATGCAGAATTTACTCTACTGCATTTGTGTTTTCAAGTTTTATTCTTAGCGAATGTGTACTGACGAGAACTCCAAAGAACAGAAGTAACTAGAGCTACAAACAAATTGCAAGTAAAACGAAAAAGCAGACTTACATTTAAGAGATAACTCTCCATCTTTCGCGCTTAAGAAGTTGCAAGATAACAACCGGAAGCAACGAAAGTCTGAATGCCCAAGTCGAAGTAGCAATAATTACCCACCTGAAAAGTCCTTATACACCAACTAATAAAACAGAACATCTCAAGAGTGAATTTCATTAACCATGAAAAGGAGATATAAAGAATTTAAAAGAGAATACCAATGTTTACAATTTTATAGGCTTTGTGACAATTTTCAACTTCATGAAACACATTTACACACAAAATAGCTGAGAGAGCAGCTTTACCAAGGGAAGGGGAGAGATTATGACAAGCATCCAGACCGAAATCAGAGTTTGAACAGGAAGATCGACTCTTCACCGTGCCAATCACTCCGTCACAGAAGTTACAATCTCCAACGGGATCGCAAGGACTAAGCGCCGGAGTCAGTGAGCGAGTCGTCATCTAGTGAACCGGAGTGGAAGAAACAAGAACTCACCGGGAGTGGTTGAAGTAGGGCGACTTGACGGTGGTGGTGATAGTGTCGCGCAGAGGAGTGATAGAGCGCGGCGCGTGAAGCGGAGAGTAATAAAATTTATTCCATCTGTTTTTGAATAAGTAATAAAAATTTATTCTCTCAGTTTTTTAATTTATTTTTCTCTTTTTTAAAATAAAAACTTTCACTCTAAATTAGTTTATAATACAATATTACAAAAAAAATCAATAAATTAACATATTTGAGACATATTTTCAAGACAACAAAATAAATGATATTTAAAGTAACATATTTTCAAGACAAACAAAATAAGATATTTAAAGTAATTTTATCTATTGTATTAGTATTAAATATTATTTTGTTTTTCTATTTTAGACAAACATGGAGAAGAGGTTCATTTTTCGCGTTTTCAAGTACTTTATATATAATTTCGTGTTTTAAGTTTTAACATAAAGAAATTAAATATATGGGTTCCTTATATATATATATATATATTATATTATAATATATTATAATTATATATTATATATATATATATATATAATATATTATATTAGTCCTATCAATTTTAAGGTGCTATTTTTTTTTTCGAGAAAGAAATTAATGATTTAGATTTTATGGAGGTGTCCAATAAAGTCAATCTATCACTTAGAAATTTAAAAAATGAAAAAAATAAAATTCATTTTTTAATTTAAGAGATTTTAATTTTAATTACTAGAATTTTACATGATTAACTTGTCTTAGTAAAAGTATTTTGAAAAGTGATAGTACTTTAGGAAGGATTGGCAATAAAAATTAATTACATAAATAATAATTACTAAAATACCCTAAAATCTAATATAAGGTATAAACGAATTTTTCTGTGAATTTTAATTGATAATTAAAATTAGCTTTGTTTAAAAAATAAAAATAAAACAGTATCCATGCAAGAGTGAATAATATACAATCAATTAACAATCAAGCAAAGTAAATTATCACAATTTCTTATTTGATCAATAATACTTAATAATAGTATATGATAAACTATGATTCATACCATTTCACTCTCTATTTTATGTTGATCTTCATGTCGCGTCATCTACAAAAATAATAAGCTTATTAATAATAGCACCCCTATAAATTTATATTAAAATGTATAATTTTAAATATAGATATAAAAAATTATCACATAGTTAGTATAATGAGATTATATTTAAAATGTATAATTTTTTTTTTTTAAAGAAATAAAAACAATATTCACATAATAAATTGAGCTTATTATGTGAATATTAACAAGCTAAGCATATAATTTTAATACTAAAATATCCTTAATTATAAAAAGTTGAAATGCAGGTGAAATCAAAATGAAAAAGTTGGGAAAGGAGACACGTGGGGCCCTCATATAATATAGTAAATAAAAACAAAACTATTATTTTATAATTTTTAACTAAACTAAATGTTTATGAAAATTTATGCAAATCAATTTATCAGCGAGGCATATTCATTTATATAATAAATAAACTTGTTACCTGATTTGGGAATCTTTATGTTAAAAATAATCATTAGATTTTATATACAATTTTCTGTATAATTGACATAATGATATACATAACAGATTGCATATAAAAAGTGTATTGGGTTGGGAAACTCTTGGCAACTAGCTAGGCATGAATGTTGATAAAGTTATTCATTCAATCTCAAATCTTAAAACACTTTACCTTTGTTAGCACATCACTTTCTCAACTTGGTCACCGTTATCCAAAGATTCCTTCAACGCTCATTCCTTCCTTTTAATCTAAACACAAATCAATTTGTATTAATATATACTGTTACTCTATTGAATTGAATGTCATATTTATATACATTTAATTCAAATAAAGTGCATCAATGAGAAGATCATCAATGCAAAATGGTAAAACTTTACAATATTAATTACAACATGTAATGTAGCTCTTTCATCATTAACTACATACCTGTTCATTGAACAACTCTTGCACCGTGGCATTCAAGTTGCCATTCCAACGTTCTTCATTCCAATATCCCACAAGCACTTCGTTAAGCTTGGGTGTCGCTTGCTCTCCATAACCAAAGGTCTTCATTTTTCCACATTCACTTATCTCTAGCCTCTCCAATGTTGGGTATTCAATAGTATATGATCCAGAGCTAAAACAAGTAAGGCTCTTTAGAAATCCAAGTTCCAAGTAGTACAAACTAGGAAACACTATCCTATCTATTGATGCTTCTTTTTCTCCTTTCTCATTTGTGACTATTTCTTCTATTGTTAAGCAAAACCACACTTTAAGGCTTTTGAGCTTCACCAGGCATTTGACAATGGAAGGAGTGAAGAAGTTTTTGAATTTAGGACATGAACTTATCTTTATAGAAGTTAGGTTTCCCAAACTTGGGGAGGTTATGGTGTGGTCTAACTCCTCATCCAAAGCTTCTTTCTTCTCAAAGATCTCCTCTAAATTATTGCAATAATCTATATCTATTTCTTCCAAACAAATAAGGCTTTGGAGTAGACTTGGTACAACATTTAACATGTTGTGGCACCTATACACTCTTAAAATTTTTAATTTACTAAAAGATGGGGCTGGAGGTTGTCCATGACATAGTTCAACCAAGTTGGGGTTAGAATACATATACGATTCCTCTAAATTGTAGAAAGTTGAGTTTGGTGTCCATTCCAATGTATTTAGGAGATACTTTATCTCATCACATGATGTGATATCAAGATACTTCAATTCATTGAACCCTTCTTCAACTAGGTTATGGCTAATACTCTCTAAATTACCAATTTCCTCTAAAACTAGATACTCAGTTCTTTTGAGCAAACCGTTAACCCAATCATGTATTTTTGAAATGTTGGTTTGTGAGACATACATACTTCTTGAGTATCTACTCGCATCCGAAAAAGGCTCAAAAAGTTTACCATAACCTATTCCTAATTTAAATTTGGACAGGTTATTTGGGAATACAAATAATTTTGGTGAGAGTTCAAGGTTTGAAATAGAAATCTCTAAATGAGTCAATCGGGACAAGGCTTCTAACTCAACAAGACTGGCATTGCTTTTCAAATTTTCACTTTCATATTCCCATTGCTTAAATCTATCAATGTACAACTCCTCTAACTTTTTAAGAGAGTGTATAACACCACAAGGTATTAGTGTTAACCACCAACAATTATTCAAATCTAATAATCTGAGATTACTTAATTGGTTAAAGGATACGGGGATCTCTTCAATATAAGAATCACAAAGGTTAAGAATCTCTAGTTTACTTAGACTTCCAATCACTGATAGGTCCCCCAAATTGCAAGCACTAAGATTTAGTGTTCTAATAGTTGAAAGAAATGAAAGTGAGTCAGGCAATGACAAGAGTTCAGTTTCGCTCAAATCTAAAACTTTGAGATCTTTCATTTCTTGAAAGAAACAACCAGGGACAACCAAATTTCTATTTTCTTGTAGTAACAAAGCCTGTAGTTTTGGACATTCCAACCCTTTAGGCAGCTCCCTAATGTTATTTGCCATCAATGAGATACATGTGAGATTTTCAAATGTATCTCTATTTAGCCACTCTTGTAAACCAATGCCAGCTTTCGCCATGTATTTATGGTTGTATTTAGGAGCTATCGTTAACGCAAAATCACGGATAACATCATGCATTTTAACAAACTTTTCACCATCATCAATTAAGAGAAAAGAAGAGGTGATGGTACTTACAATACCAAATATTCTATCTCTGACATCTTCTATCTTCTCATCGAAGTCTTCAGCCCACCTTAATCCGATCCCGTATGTAACCAAATCTTCAATTGGAATTTTGTGATCCTCTGGAAATAAGCTACAAAATAAGAAAAGTGATTTTGCCTCCACAGTCTCGAGATAATTGAAGCTCAATTCCAGAGATGAAATAATGTTGCTCTCCATTCCTGGGATATTTGATGGGGTGGACTTCTTAAGTTGTCGTGCTGCATCACTCCAGACATGCTTGTTCTTTCCCTTCAACGCTCTTGCTACAGTCACGATTGCAATTGGCAAGCCACCACATTTAGCAGCTACATCTCTTGCAATTAAGTCTATATCAGAGTTTTCCACAATCTCGCCGACAATCTCCTTGAAAAGAACCCAACTTTCTTGTTTCGATAACGTTTCAATTGTGAATACCTTTTGACAATCCTGTTGATTACATACAAGTTTGCTTCGAGAAGTGATCACAATTTTGCAACCTTTATGGTCATCACCGTAAGGAATACCAATCTCATCCAATTCGATTCTTCTCCAAATATCATCCAACACCACAAGAATCCGCTTCTCTTCCTTGATTCTCTCCCACAAGGATCGTGCTCTTCCTGACTCGATTTCAGTCGACAGTTTCAAACCCAGCATGTTTGCAATTTCCTCTTGAATCTTCGCAATATTAGGAGTTTGAGACACAACCGCCATCACTACTGCATCATAGATCTTTTCTTCTTTTGCTTGTTTGCTGATCTCTTTGACCAGTGTGGTCTTACCCACGCCCCCCATCCCACATATTCCAATTATGCTGACATTATGATCATCAACTAACGCCTTCACGATTTTCTTCTTAATTGAATTTCTAGATTTGAAAGTGCCTGAAGAAAATAACTTCGATGACGATATAATTCCAGGCGGAGGAGCAGGACAAGACACACTCTCAAACTTTTCCACTTCCTGGAGCCGATCAGAAATCTCCAGAGTATGCTTCTTTGCCTCCTTACTGAATCGATGACGTTGTTTGAGATTAATGCACCACCCTTTGAGACACCTCTTGTTGGCTTCCAAAAACTTTTCAGTTTCTGCGGAAATCTTATCCGCTTCTGCTATCCAGCTTTGAACAGTAGCGAAGATGGTTTCTCCATTTCTTTCAGCAAATTCGATTTTCTTTTGCACAGTGCCTCTGCTATCTGCCAGCTTCTTAGCTTCCTTTTTCAAGTTTTGAATGTTGTCGTTGTAATGAAACAAGTAACCAAGTTGATCGCCAGCAGCTGGGAACAAATAGTCAGCGACCTTCCCACCAATAGAATTAACAATTTCCATGCCTTTTTCTTTTCTTACGGGTACAAGTAGAAAATTATGTTTTGAGTGTTTGAAGGTGAAAGAAGAAATAATATAGGACTTTAGGCAAGGTTTTAGTGAGAACTTTTTTAGGCTCAGTTTGTAACAAAGAGATGAATATGAAGGAAACAATTATTGTTTGTTGTGAAATGATAAGAAAAAGGGAGGAAAACATATAAAGCAAAGAAAAGTGAATGAAAATGATCTTGAAATAATGAATATTGTTCCATCCTTTGCCTTTGGTCTCAAGGCTGCTTGATTCCTTTCAATGCAAAATCAATTTGTATGTATTGTTCTTCAAATTTATGAATGATTCCATCCTTTGCCTTCAGTTTCAAGGCTGCAGCTTGGTTCCATCCTTATTACAAGCTCATTCTCCTCTCTTATAATTGTTTTTGAGTTAGAATCTCTAATTTTGTGCATATTCTTGTCTTTGGAAAGAGGAAATCATAAAGAAAAGTGATTATATGATAAGACGAAGCAAGGTATGCAATTCATCTTGCCTTTGCTCTCATGGGTTCTTTTCTTATATAAACTTTTTTCTGATTTAGGATCTCTAAAAAATTGAAAACCAAATGTAGAATTATTCTTGTCTTTTAAAGTGAGAAACTTAATTGAAAAAATGATACCATTATTTGATCTCTCAAATCAAAATCCTGAAAAAAGAATCCTTCAACCAAAGAATTATTCTTGTCTTTTAAAGTGAGAAACTTAATTGAAAAAATGATACCATTATTTGATCTGTCAAATCAAAATCCTGAAAAAAGAATCCTTCAACCAAATAGAATAGCAGAGCAAGGGAAGGGATATACATGAACGCCAAGAACTATATTTCTTTGCTCATAAGTAGTCTTATCAATTTTCAAGTTTTATTTTGTCTTTGCAGTGTATATAAGAGATCCTTTAGAAAATAATAATATAAATTTAATATTTTCTTACCCAAATTTGTATTGATTAAGGTTTAATTAGCTTCAGGGCTGTTTGATTTACTTTCACCAATTTATGTCCTCTAACTTATGCACCAATTAATGGCTTGAATTTTACATTCAAATTACTAACTTATTTCTTATTTCTAAATAATATTAATATTCCTTAAGGCATTTCAATCCCAAAGTAACAACACTGCAATTACTGAATCCTGAAGGAGTTGTATAACTAAGAAAGTCGATTGTCGAATTCATCACATCAATATTAATTACTGAAAAAGTGAAAAAGAAAAGCACAAAAAAGAAGGAAGGAATTTATATATGCAGAAGGGAGATATACATAATTGGATGTTGAAATGATACTTTTGCTTGCTCTCAACTCAAGGCTGTTTGGTTCCATCCTTACAACAATTTTTTATTCTATAGCATATATGTTCCATAAGAATACAATATTCTTGTCTTCTAAAATAAATCTAGGAACATTCTTGTCTTGTGAAAGACAAAATGCAAAGCAAGTTTATGTTTGGATCATCCTTCTTCTTCCTCTGCAAAAAATATATAACAAAGTTTAGATTGTACAGAAATATACGAAGAATACATAAATGTTGTTTAGAATTAGTCCACGAATGGAAACACAGGGCTTCTACCATTTAATGCACTCCACTCATTTTAAAAGGAGTTTTCCCTCTAGAAATTTAAATATATATTTACATGTTATATACCAAATTGTTTTCAACAACTAAGGCCTTTTGTTGATTTAGCACTTGTAGGGGAAGATTTTTAGAATCATCAATTTCAGCGGCAAAGTGATATCATAGAAGTTAGAATCTAAGTTACCCGATATTACTACCTCGCATTAGCGTCAACTGGAAAAATTTCAACTACTACTCCAATTTTTCGACTATAAGTTCATTGATATTGGGTGAGAATGTCAGCATCAGACCATGCTAGCAGTATAATAGCAAAAATTGTTCAATTAAGTCCAAAAGATATCCCAAATGTAAAATTAACTAAAGTACCTTTACTCTGAGCAGTGGTAATTTGGTCTCTGATCAGTTAACAGCCTTCTTGTTAGATCTCTCTATGAGATTTCTAACTTGAAATAAAACGAAGTTATAACAATATATGTTATTAATGCATAGGCGCATATTACACTAGCCCCAAGAATTACAATCACAAGAAAGTCAAAATAACGCTTCCCACTTTGTCTAAATGTTCAAGAACTGAATTTTGATTATTGGGATTCATGTAAGATTCATCCTTCAATCCAATTTGTGTCATAAACTTTGAGTAAGCCGTGTAAAGATCTTCAAAAGATGAAAAGAAGAAAATAAATTGCCTTTGTATATTTATCTTCATGAAATAAATTATTTTTGATTATGAGTACATTCTTTAATCGTACACCAAATTTTCCATCTTTTTAGAAACAGAGTTCTAAGAAGCAAATTCAAATTAATTATAAAACCTCAACGATATTGATTTTCTTCATCCTAAAATCTTTGAAAATACTGGAAAAGAAGATAAGATGAGGCGCAGTATCAAATTAAAGCTCAATTGAACATTGTTAAAAGCAGAAAAAAGTAAAAAAGCAGAAATTGTTTCTGTTCATTTTGAACAAATACTACACAGAGTATATATAATTTCTTAAAAAATATTTAAATTTACTTTTGCCAATTCCAAAACCACTTTTAACTAAAAGTTTAAAAGTACAACCAGAATTTAAATTTAAAATATTTTATATTACACTTTAATTTGATTGATTTATTATGTAAATCTATTTTTTAATTATAATAAAAATTACTAAATAAAGTGTATTTTTTGTGATTTTACATGCAACATATGTACCTTATTAAAGAGAATGCAGAGCTTACCCTGTATACAACTAAAGCAAGGAACTAGAAATTAGTCTAGAAATTGCGTTCTTTGGATTCAATTATGACTTCTTGCATTAAGACCACAGCAAGGTCAGCACTGGCAGCAGGATCTGAAATTCAAAGAACAATGAACAGATTTACAGTCAAGAGATAAAAAACCCTTTTGTAACACAAACTCAACACATGTTCGTATAATCAAATGAATCATTAGAGAATAGACAGACAATATAATTATGTCAATTTCTTGGACTCAAAACACAATTACAGTATATATTAAAGGCGACAATATCTCAAACCAACAAAAGATTTCTTCTACGTACACATTAAAGTATTGGAAAAATTAATCATGAAATTTTAAAAGAATCATCATCAAGGTACACCAGAAAATTAAATAAAACGTTGAAGACCATTTTCTGTCCAACCAAATTCTGTGAATGTAACTTTATTCCCCTGTATTATAGGAGTGATGAGTTTCAAATGTTTCCCTTAATGACTTTCCAAAGGAAAAGAGGAGCTCACTGTTAACTTCTGCTCTGGTAATTATTTTCTTTATCCAGTAATCTCGGAAAAGACTGGAAAAGAAGAAAAGATGGGGTTCATTCTCAAATTAAAGCACAGCAGAACATTTTTGAAAGAAAACAAAAAAGCAAAGTGAATTCTTCCTTTTAATTTGTTGTTGTTTGCTTTTGTGAACAGATGGTATGAAATTTTTTGGAGATATGTTTGGATATAGCATACAAAAAGAAGCTTTAATTAATTCAGCGTTTCTGTAATCACAAAATATTTATCTATATATTTTGAATATATGCTACATAAAATATATATAATTTTTTTAAAATACATAAGTAAAGTTTAAAATACAAAAAGAATTAAAAATTTAAGAATATTTTGAGAGACAAGAAGATGGCAAGTTGAACCATTGCCACAAACTGTCTTTTAATAAAATAAAACTAAAATCTAGGCACCCATATGGACCAAATAAAATTTTATCTTTTACCACCCCCTTTTTTCCAAGAAGTGTTTTAAGTGTCTATTTCAGCCATGAAAAGTTGTACTCTTTTCATGCAATGCAAATTCAAAGTCTTATGTGACAAAAGAACAAATTAAAGAAAACCGAAAGCACAAAGTTGATTGAAGCATGAATACCGGTGATGACAAAATATAGAGCATATTATTATTTTGCATAGAAAGATTGGGAAGAATCAGTGGAAATAGATTATTAACTTACCCATGTTATATGCTCAAATGTCAAGTAACCCTGTCACCAAATTGAATTTTATATCCACCTCTTTGATTATGAGCACATTATCTAATTTAAACCAACTTTCCCATCTTCATAGAAACAGATTTCTGAGAAGCAAATTCAAAATAATTATATAACTAAATATAAAACCTTGACGACTCAGATTAACTGATTATTTTGGCAAGACTTAAGACAACTATATGAGCAGAAATTCATTCAGAGTTCAGGGCAAACATAAGATTGCATTACGTAAATGGCAAGGGTAAAATCTACACTAAAACCCTTATAAGCACCAGCTCTTTAACAAATAAAAACAAAAATTTTGAGACAAATTTCCTCCATAATTGCAGCTACAGCAAAAATACTTTGATACTAATTAGGCTTCTCAATCCAGTTAAGTACATACAAGTAAATAGAAGTTATTAGAATTCACCAGTTACCTTCTTGAATGTTTACGTAAGACCCAATTCCACGACCAATACCCTGTCGATATACAAGACCATATTTCCACAGAGACATCCTAGCAAGAATACCAAGGGTGTATGCCTGTAGAAGGTGATTAATCAATCAATTAGTGCAATCTACTTATGCAGACCAGTTTTACCTAATAATTTCGAATTTGTTGCAATTGCACTCACTTATAACAATTAAAAAAACATTAAAATCTTAATCAAGTATGTCAACGGACTAAAGTATGCTGCAAGGCATATGTTAATAACGTAACATATGCTTACCGTCATGAATGTTTACATATAATGCAATTCAATGACCAGTAGTAATCAACACCGTCTTTGCATAGAGGCTTGCTGATTCCTACAAGAAGGTCAGGGGCAATACCAGTAAAAAGTGATTAAAATCAATGTAGAATCTACATATGCAGATTCAATGTTTGGAATCTTCAAGAGAGTTGGGAGATTCATAAACCATACCAGATGCCTTGAGTCAACGATTAAAAAGTAAAAAGGAATTAGAAAAGTGAACCATGTGTCCACAAAGGCAAGACTAAATAACTCAACAATAAAATTAATAGTTAAATATGACATTTCTTCTTTACACGTATTAGGCACAGCAAGCAGAAGAAAGCAATGGAGCTCACCTTTGTTAAACCGAAAAAGCATCACTTTGCTTTCTCAGAAAGGGCTGGATCTCATGTGTGAACTGTTTCAGACAACCTTCAGAAAGTTCTACCTGAAAAGTTTCTAGAAGCATACCAAAATTTAAAGCTAGAACACAATGAATATTTCATATGGTCTAATCCATGCTTACAAATAATTGATGATCCAGAAAACTAGACAACTGTGAAGTCATAAGAAATTGTAGCATTGTTAACCATAAAAAGTGGAATGAGTTTTTAAAATCTTTGAATCTTCAAATCGTTCTTCCTCGGTTGTGAAGAAAAGAGTTAAAGAGTATATCTTGCACAATAGATATATATTCAACCCAACCTTTTCTCTTGCAGTGCTTCATGTCCTGGCAAAGTCATATTCTTCATATTCATTAAATAAACTGCAATTAAACAATTAATTGAGACAATTTATCAAGCACTTTAAAAGCATAATTAATTTGAGATAACTAATACTGAAAAAGAGATGCACCACAACAACACTAGATCAGTGGCCAAACCAGTAGATCATGAGGGCCATGAGAGTAGATTGCTTCAGCTAAGCAAGCTGCTCTCGGTGGAGGCAAAATGCAAGCCAAGCCTTAGTGTTGAAGATAAGTAAATTGCCAAGGTAAATCTATACTAAAATCCTTATGTGCATGAGTATTACAGTATACATCTGGTTATACACACAGAATATGTATTAAAATTTTATGAAAAATTTTTACTACATCTTCAATTTAAAGCAAAAACAGCAATCCGATACAAACCATCTGTTGCCGTCATGGAAGCTTGTAAAGGAACAAGTTGGGCCCGGGTTCAAACACTAATTGACCTGCTTAGGCATTGCAACACCAGAAAGATAAACTAATCAGGCTTCTCAAACCAATTAAGAACATCTATATAAAAGCAAGTAGTTGGAAATTACCTCACGCCAGGCTGTAATTCTGGTTCATTTGCAAGGAAACCAATCAGTTCCAAGCAGTGGCTTCAATTATGCTTCATTGAACCATTTGACAACAAACTCACCAAATCCCAAGGAACCATTCCTCACAAACATTTCATCAAACATGTTGCATGAAATGCCTTTAACAAATCCAGAATGTATTACAACATAAAAGCTACACAATTCTAACATGTAATCAACACACACACACACACACACACAAAAAAAATATATATATATATTCTTTACCTGTGCCAGTTACATTGTCCGGGATTAATGCACCACTCATTCAGACACCTCTTGTTTGCATTGACCCCATCCTTAAAAAAAAATTCAGCTTCTGCAGTGATTTTGTCAACTTCTGACATCCAGCTTTGAACATCAGTTTCTATAATTTCTAATGAAACAATTTCCATAGATAAAAACAAGCAAGAGTAGTGTATAGAAGAACAAAAGAGCTAGAGATGTTGAAGTGGTGGCAAAGTTTTAGCTTTTGAAGGACCAAGAAAACACAGATTTTGAATGAGTTTTGGTTCCCAAATTCAGATCATAAAATACAATAAAATGTTTTATAATATTGTTATTATGCAGGCTATCAAAAGCAATCACAATTCAAAAAGACACAAACTCCTCAAGCAAGCTGACGAGGTATGTATCTTTTGATTACTTCTTGTCTGACATTTACATCATTAAAAAAATATTATTAGTGGAATTAACTTTAGGAAAGATTATAGTAGTGTTTGATTCTTCTACTAGAATTGTCAAAAAAGAAATCATGATTAAAGCAATTACATAATAAGATTACACTGAAAGACGACATCTATTTATATTCTTATACGAACAATGGTAACCTAAAGCTAACACTAATTACAATTGTGATAACTGACAACTAACTGATATTAAAATATGACATATAATCAAATCTTATTATTTATTAGAAAATATATTAAGTTTTGTTTCTTCTTTTCTACTAGCTAGCATCACATAATATTGTAAATGTAAGCCAGAAACAAATAAGTACATGCATAAATCACAAGAAGTTCAAGAAATATAAGCATTAGAGAAATAACTCAGCAAGAGAAGTAAATGGTCAAGGTAAAATCAATACTCAAACCTTCATGAGTATGAGCATGCATCTGGCTACACAAACAAAGAATATGATCCCTGAGCCCAGTAAACAAAAGAGATAATAGTTTAAAAAGAAAAAAAGCTCATGTAGCTCTTAACAAATTTAAAACCTTATGAAAGCTTTCATCTAAAACTGCAATTAAGGCAAAAAAACAAAGATATACTTGTTAGGAGTTAAGAGTTATATGTACTTTTTCTTATTCTCAAGGGTAGTTTAGTTCTTTTACTTAGTTGTATATATATGTAACTTTACTCTTTGTATTATTCTCTTTTTCTTTTGGTTAATAGTAATATGGAACCCAGGTGTTTCTTTTTTTTTTTTTTTTTTTTTCAATCTTCTTTAAAATCCTCTTTGAATCTTTGAGTATGTTAATAATACTACCCTTTGTTGCAATCATCAAAGCTAGTATAGGAACTAATTAAATAAGGTCCTGCTCAGACATTGTATCAACACAAAGATTAGCTATTAGGCCTCTAAAATAATTAATTAAATACATACAAGTAAATGCAAGCACTTGGAATTCACCACTTACCTTTACGAACATTACCTTCATGAACTTTTATTAAATGGGGTCCCATGTCAATAATCAACACCAGCTTTCGTAGAGGCATCCTAGCAAGAATTTCAAAGGTATTACCAATAAAATGTGATTAATCAATCAATCAGTTGAATCTACCTATGTAAACTCACTTAAAAAAATTATATAAAAATAATTAAAAACCTTGTTCAAGTATGACAATAGATTAAACTATGCAGCAAAACCTAAAATCAACACGATATCCACAATCTAAAAGGAAATACCACAAGCAACGAACCATTCCTCACAAGCATTTCATCAAAAGGAAATTGTTTCTGCCTTGCCTTCTGCAACGAAGACAACAAAGACAAAAGATATTTAGAAATTTGTTTCAATTTTGATCTTATAATACACTTTAATTTACCAAAAAGTCCTTTTGCTAGGTAATTGTAAAAACAAACTACTCAAGGACAGTTTTGGTATAAAATTTTAAATTTAAAAAGTACTTAAAATCTATTTATTTTATAATTTTTAACTAAACTAATATTGTTTCTTGAAAACTTATGGAAGCCTATTTATTTTATGTTAATTGTAAATGATTTAATTTAATTTAATTTATTTTATGTTATTCAATTATTAGGATGTCTTATATATTTTTATTTTAGAAGGAAATTTTATGGCTTAGTTTGCTACAAATTAAAGAGAAGCACAATATATCATATAAGCACATTAATGAAATATTTCATACTTTGTATATATATTTAAAACAATTAATGATAGAAAGAAAAACCTGTCTCAGTCTTTTCTTTTATAATATGTTAAGAGTTGGCATCTGCAAAGTATTCAAAATCAAATATTTTTGTCTTCAACAAGAGAAGACTGATATATACTTTTTTAAGCCTGAACATGAGGATTACAATCAAGATCTATATATTTAAAATCTACTTCATGTTAACTTCTGTGTTAAACTACTCTGATAATATATTATTTACATCGTGAAATGATAAAAAGTAAATAAGGAATAGTTGTTTAACTCTTCTATTATTTACTATACTATACCAGCATATATAAGAGGATGACCACAGAAAAGAATCACTTATACGATCCAGTTTTATTAGGCCAATCAATATTTTAACTATTGACAGGACAACATCTCAATTTGGCTGATTATACAATGATATGAATGATCAAGAAAATCAAATTCTTCCTACCTCATTACAATCTCTTGTAATGAAATACCAAGCTATTTCAGAGGAAGCAATTCATTCTTCTCCATCTGTAGAGCAATATTAATACACTCAAGTTGTAAATAAACATTATATGAAAAATGAAAAAATTAACACTTTCACTATCAGTACTTTCAGCTCATCGTATAGGCCTCTAGGGAAGAAATTAACCTGAAATACTGAACAAAATGCTGAGCAATACATGAAGCATGCATGGACGCCAACAGCTAATTTTCTTTTTCTCTTCTCACAATCATTAGTCTTAATCTAATCAAGGAAAATTCTACATCCTATATATCTATACCCTTGATAACAACTTGTTATTATACTATGCCAACATCATAGAATGACCCCATCAAAATAACCGTGTAATTGATCACATTTATGCTAACCAACATTTAAGAGTTTTATTTTGAAATTTGAACGAGAAGTAATCACTAATTTACAAAGCATTAGTCCATTGAAAGTATGTTATAGACTTTAATAATTGGACTTGGATACCATGCATTATGTACCATTACATTAATGATNGTCTTTCATGGGCTTGGGTAGAACTCTCCTTGGAAAACCGGCTTGCCAAGGGAGGGTGCCCAAGCCTTTATAACCCACATGCCCACCCTTTTCTCTTTCAATGTGGGATCCTAACATTCCACCAAGCTTTCGCAACCGACATCCACGTCGGCCTCTTTACCCCCGTCAACCTCTTTATCCCTTGGGTGACTACGCGGATCCCCTTTCCCTCGGGCCTCCATGCCCTTTCTCGGGGTAGCAGCCCGGGCCTAAGGTCAGCCTGCCACGGGTCAGCCTGCCACGCGTGCGCTGCCACATAGGCGCAGGATCATGCTCTGATACCAATTGATAAGAACCCACTCCAATAACTCAACAATTTGGGTTGGGCCATGGGTCTTTCATGGGCTTGGGTAGAACTCTCCTTGGAAAACCGGCTTGCCAAGGGAGGGTGCCCAAGCCTTTATAACCCACATGCCCACTCTTTTCTCTTTCAATGTGGTATCCTAACAATCTCCTTCCACAATCGTTTGTCAACCAACTAGGATGTGATGTATTGTTATTTTGCTGGGAAAAGTTTCCTCCCTGGACTGGTGGTAACCTATCTTTATATCATAGATTCCATTAGACTTGTGAGGCCAAACAATTTGGTCAGGATCAGAGTTCCTACTTATCGGAATAGCTGCCATCTTTTTTGCATTTCCAGCCTCATAAACTTCAACTAATTTATGATGATCCCAAGATCTACCAATCGAGGAAAACAGCTCCTTCACTTTCTGATCTGCTTGTACAATGGGCTTAATGTCTTGCATTCCTGGTGGCATCTAATTGTCATTCATAATTCGAACAGAGTTGCCATTATTCACCTTCCAAATTGCTTTCTCCTTGAGAAGGCTTCTGCCAAACAACAAATTCTTCCAACCCTAAGAACTATTCTTTTTGCATGTTGCCTCCCAAAAGTTTTTTTGAGGGAAATATATGGCTTTCAAGATTCACATCCATAAAATATCAGAATTCAATAGAATGCTCCATGCTTGTTTACTCAATAGAGCCTGGTTCATTTTGTAAAAATCCCTAAATCCCAGCCCTCCGTCTTTCTTGCTCTTTGATAACTTTTTCTGTCCAACCCAATGAATTCCTTTCCTCTCCTTGCTTTTTTTCCACCAAAAGTTAGTCACACTCATGCATAATTTAGCACAAAAATGTTTAGGGAATTTAAGAATGGACATAGCATAGTTAGGTATGGATTGCAAGACAACTCTAATAAGCACTTCTTTACCAACTGATGACAAGAGTTTTTCTTTCCAGCCTTCGGTTTTTTGTTTAACCCTCTCCATGATCCAACTTAGAGTTTGTGTTTTGGTTTTTTCCCAAGAAGAGGGAATCCTTAAGTATTTTGAAGGAATGTCCCAACAAGGGATGCTTAAGGCCTTGGAAATTTTGTCCTTGACTTTATTTCTGGTATTACAAGAGAAAATTGGGCTTCTGGTGATAATCAATTGGCAATCTAAAATTCACTTCAGGCCTTCTATCTCCCAATTGGACCGGACTTAAGTGTTGACTGAAGCCCAACTTCTCCATTGGACTTCCTTTAGCTGACTTATTAGAAGAGCTAGAGCCCTCACAACCCGGTCCAGTTTGCATAAGATTAGAGAAGCCCACATTGTTTAGGTCCAATGACATGTTACCACAATTAATACCAACATTCTCCTTTAACTCATCATAATCATTACCCACATTGTGATTTTGGCCTCCCATCAGAAATTGAGAATGAGTTACCGTCATTATCTGGATTTGTGATGAATTAGGCGT